GGTTGAAGTTTTTTTTTTTTAATTTTATTTATTATGTATACAGTGTTCTGTCTGATGTGTGCCTGTTAGCCAGAAGAGGGCGCCAGATCTCATTACAGATGGTTGCTAGTCACCACGTGGTTGCTGGGAATTGAACTCAGGACCTCTGGATTAGTAGCCAGGGCTCTCTCTCCCACCCGAGGTTCTTATTATAAGGGAGAGCACAGGCAGAGAGGCGGAGACATCTGAGAGCGTCCAGAGTGAACATGACCAGCCAGCCGACTGAACCCAGCCATGTGAGGAGGGGAACGAGAAGCCAAGAGGCCAGGAGAGTGGGATTAAAAAAAGGAAATAGTTGAGTTCCATAGGGAGTAGCAGCTGGGGAGAAGACCATGAGCTGGAGAGGTTGTGGTGGGGGTGGGGTGAGATGTTCTGTGGTATGTTAAACAGGCACAGCAGGTGGCCATTTGTCCTGGGGTTTGAGACCTCACACTTTCACGTAAAAACTTTCTATGCAAATAAGCACAAATGTCTATACTCAGTGTAGCTAGGAAAATGTAAAGTTTACAAAGCTTATAAATCTCTTAAGTCTTAGGCCGGCTTGAGTAAGATGGGACTTTGTCTAAAAATAAAACAAGCTGGTAGTGGTGGCACAAACCTTTGATTCCAGCTTCTGGGAGGCAGAGGCAGACAAACAAACTTCTGTAAATTCTAGGCCAAGAGCTCCACATCTCCCCTTCCCCCCCAATCTCAGAGAACATTACAAATGCATTCAAGGAAGAAAGATAAATATTTAAGTAATCAAAGTATACACAAAGAATACTTGGCTTGATTTGGTGGTGCATACCAGAAAGCAAGAATCAGGAGTACCAAAGTCAGACCCTGCTACTTACCGGCTAGGAGGCCTCCTTAGACACCTGAGATGCTATCTCAAAACTAATGCAAAGTCAGGCCCAGAGTGGAAGTACATGTCTTTAATTCCAGTACTGGGCAAGTAGAGGCAGGCAGATCTCTGAGTTTCCGTGCCATCCTATCAGGACCAAGAGAGCTATTTATTTATTTATTTATTTATTTATTTATTGTTTTTTTTCCGAGACAAGGTTTCTCTGTGGTTTTGGAGCCTGTCCTGGAACTAGCTCTTGTAGACCAGGCTGGTCTCGAACTCACAGAGATCAGCCTGCCTCTGTCTCCCGAGTGCTGGGATTAAAGATTAAAGGCGTGCGCCACCACCACCCGGCCAAGAGAGCTCTTTAAACCTAAAGCCTAAACTAATAATTTGGATGCATGCCGGCTCAAACCTATAATCACAATCACTAGTGCAGAGCGGAGGAGGAAGGCAGAGTTTCAGGTCAGCCTGAGCGATTGTGTGAGATCCTGACACAAACAGCACACTGCCACCAAGACTCTATTAAGTTCATGTGTGAAGAAGTAGTTGTAACTCTAATTAAGTTTATTTTTTAAAATGTTTATGGTTTCTTTTTATGTTTGCCTAGATGCATGTCTGTGGAAGGTGTCTGATTCCCTGGAGGAGGAATTGTGACAGATAGAAGTGAGCTGCCTTGTGGGTGCTCTGGAGGAATAGCCGCTCTTGCCCTCTGAGCCCTGTCTTTCCAGCCACATAACTTCCTATCTGTGTCCTTCCTGACCAGGATCTGCCACTGCAGAGTTCCAGCACCTACCTCTGGTGGGTGTGCAGACACAATGCTGAAGCACTCTTGAGTCATGGAGGTCAAGGTTTTTCTGCAAAGTGATACAATCCTCTTTTTCCCATTTTTTTCCTTTTATTTTTGAGGGCAATCTTTTTTTTAAGTTCTTTTTTTTTAGATTTATTTATTTATTATGTTTATGGTATTCTGTCTACATGTGTGCCTGCAGACCAAAGAGGGCACCAGATCTCATTACAGATGGTTGTGAGCCACCATGTGGTTGCTGGGAATTAAACTCAGGACCTCTGGAAGAACAATCAGTGCTCTTAACCTGTGAGCCATCTCTCCAGCCCCGCAATCATCATCATTATTATTATTATTATTATTATTTTTAATTTTTTTGGTTTTGGTTTTTCGAGACAGGATTTCTCTGTGTTACTTTGGAGCCTGTCCTGGAACAAGCTCTTGTAGACCAGGCTGGCCTCAAACTCACAAAGATCCGCCTGCCTCTGCCTCCTGAGTGCTGGGATTAAAGTGTGCTCCACCACTGCCTGGCCACAATTATTATTTTTTTTAAAGATTTATTTATTTATACAGTATCCTGACTGTAGGCCAGAAGAGGGCACCAGATCTATATATGGTTGTGAGCCACCATGTGGTTGCTGGGAATTGATCTCAGGACCTCTGGAAGAGCAGTCAGTGGTCTTAACTGCTGAGCCATCTCTCCAACCCCCCCACCCCCCAATCATTATTTTTACACAAGCACTCTTCTCATTGTTATTGTGAGAATTCAGGGAATTCACAATTTCATTTTTCACCTTTTTTCTCTGTGTAACAGCTCTGACTGTCCTGGAACTTGCTTTGTAGACCAGGAGTTTACAAATTTTGTATTTAAAAAATCTGAGCCGGGCGGTGGTGGCACATACCTTTAATCCCAGTACTCGGGAGGCAGAGGCAGGTGGATTTCTGTGAGTTCGAGACCAGCCTGGTCTACAAGAGCTAGTTCCGGGACAGGCTCCAAAAAAAAAAAAATCTGAGAGGCCCACATAGCAATACTTGCCTATAATTTCAGCGTTTTGACTCTTGAGCAGGTGAACGTGAGTGTCAGGCTAGCCTGGAGAACTTCTCCAAGACAGCAGGAGAGGTGAAGGGATGAGGAAAGAAAAGGAAAAAAGAAATTTTCGACACAAAATTTCCTAGGATAGAATTTTATTGCTGAGTGGTGGTGGTGCACATCTTTAATCCCAGCATTTGGGAGACAGAGGCAGGTGGATCTCAAGGAGTTAGAGGCCAGCCTGGCCTACCTGAAAAAAAAAAAAAAGATTTGAATCCACCAAAAAAAGTGTAATGCAGGGGCTGGAGAGATGGCTCAGAGGTTAAGAGCACTGACTGCTCTTCCAGAGGTCCCGAGTTCAGTTCCCAGCAACTACATGGTGGCTCACAGCCATCTGTGGTGAGGTCTGGTGCCCTCTTCTGGCCAGCAAACATACAGAGAGACGGAACCCTGTATATATAATAAATAAATAAATCTTTAAAAAAAGAAAAAAAAAGTGTAATGCAAGAGAAATGCTCCTCAGGGAACCGCAGCTGGTATTTCCTGTACTGGGTGCAAATGTGCTTAGATCTAGCTATTCTTTCTGAGTCTCATTTTCTTCTCTTTTTGTGGAAATTTGACGTTTGTGATGGCAAAACATCAACCTTTTTTTTTCAATTCATTTGCATAACTATTTTGCCTGCATGTGTGTCTGTGGGAGGGTGTCAGAAGCCCCAGAATTGCCATGTGGGTGCTGGGAACTGTACCTGGGTCCTCTGAGGAGCCAGTGGTCTTAACCACTGAGCCATCTCTCCAGCTCAACAAAACATCAATCGTAGGGGTAGTATATCCCAGAGTTTTCATCCAGCGGCCCTTCTACTTTTCAGGATAATCTATCCTTGTATAAAACTTGCACAATGCATCCAGTCAAGCCAATTTTTCTTTTTTTAGTTAGGGTCTCACTATGCAACACTGGTTGTTCTTCCTCAGCCTCCGGAGTGCTGAATTTAAAGGTGTGTTCTAGCAGGTCAGGTTCAAAATGCCTTTTGTTTGAGTCAGGATTTTTTGGTGATATGGAGCCTTGACTGTTCTGGACTTGATTTGTATCACAGGCTGGTCAACTCACAGTGAACCAACTGCCTCTGCTTCCCGAGTGCTGGGATTAAAGGCGTGCACCACCACCGCCAGGCTCAAACTGACTTTTAATACCTTTTATTTTACTATTTATTTATTTGGTTTTTCGAGACAGGGTCTCTCTGTAGCTTTGAAGTCTGTCCTGGAACTAGCTCTTGTAGACCAGGTTGGCCTAGAACTCACAAAGATCTGTCTGCCTCTGCTTCCGGAGTGCTGGGATTAAAAGCTTGTGCCACCACCACTTGGTTTTTAATACCTTTCTTAAAAGGTCTTCAGAATCTGGATTTAAGTAAACCATTCAGATGACTAAATTCCATTTCCAACCATTATTAACTCCACATATCATTTGCATCTACTTCAGTCGTTGTTCCATGGACATTTAAATTTATTTAAAAGGCTGTGAAAGGGGGGAGTGGTGGCACAGACCTTTAATCCCCAGTACTCAGGCTCAGGGAGAGGCATTTCAGTTTTTGTGAGTTCCAGTCAGGGTTACACAGAGAGACCCCATCTGAAAACTAAAAACTAAAAGCATGCAGAAAATTTAAAGTATTAAAATACATAAGTTGTAAAAACAAAGATCCAGGAAAAACGTTTTCGCCTGTCATCCCAGCAATAGGGAAGCTGGGGCTGAATCCCGCAATTCTGAGGCCAGCCTGGGCTACAGGATGACTTCGCTTTGGCGCTCTGCCACTAACTTTTCTACCCCTAAACTAACTTCTATGAATCCGGGATTCCTCGCCTGTCAAATCGCAGTGAAGACAGTGTTAATTTCCTTGCCGTGCCCGCTTCTGCTCCCAAGTCCTCGGATTAAAGGCGTGTGCCACCACCACCCGCCCCACTGGTTAATCCTGAGGACAGAGAAGATAAATACAGACTGCCTGGCACTTAGTAACAAGCTTTGTTAAACGTTCAGACTTCCCTTGTAAGAGCCCCAACGTTCATCTGTCCCTTGTTTAAAAAAGATTCCCAAAACCAAAAGACTTCTTAGAAGCATGCTAAAACGCGTCTCCACCCGAACCTGGCAGTAATTCCCCATGAATTATCAATTAGGTTTAAGTTTTAAAGGTGAGCGCCGCAACTTCCGCTTTCATAAAGCCCCTCTCAAAAGGGGGAGTTGGAAACGTATCGCGAGAGTCTAACGGGACGCGTATAGGGCTTGGGCCCTGCTCTCGCGTTGTCTGGCGAAGTAATGGGTCGCGGTGAAAAGGAAGCGCGAAGTATCGCGGGAGCCTAGGGACCTCTCGCGAGACTTTGGGCGCTCGCCCCTCCCCCTCCACCAAGTGCCGTTTCGGTTTAATCTAGTGTGTGACTGAGTCTGGGTGAGGGAGCGGGATGTGTATGTGAGGTGTCGGGGTGAGGCGGAGGCTAGAGAAGGGGGCTCCCTCGGGGACGAGGGACAAAGCGGGAGGTCAGGCCACCTAGGCCGCCGAGCCCGGGCGCCGAACCGGACTACCGGGTAGAGGAAGGGCCCGCGCAGTCCTCCCGGGGCGCCAGAGCCGGAGTCGGCCCCTCAGACTCGGGCGCTCGGCTTCCTGCTTCCTTGCGGTCCCAGGCTCGCGGGCCTGAAGATCGGCGCGGGTGGGCGGCGGCGGCGAGCAGACTCGAGTTGCTGCGGGTGTCTCGCTCCTTCCACCGCCGAGGAACTCTCATTTCTTCCCTCGCTCCTTCCCTCCCCCCCCCACCTCATGTAGGAGGGCGCTGAGGAGGCGAGAGGGAGGAGGAGCCTGGCCTGCGGTCCCTTCCCTCCCCACCCCCTTTTAGGGGTTCCTTGGTGGGCGTGGGGTCGGGGGGGAGGGTGGGGCTTTTTGGAGTGCTGGGGAACTTTTTCCCCTTCTACAGGCTTGGGGAAAGGGAATGCCCAATTCCGAGAGACATGGGGGTAAGAAGGACGCGAGCGGAGGAGCTTCTGGAACTTCGCAGCCGTCATCGGGAGGTGGCAGCTCCAACAGCAGGGAGCGTCACCGCTTGGTGTCGAAGCACAAGCGGCATAAGTCCAAGCACTCCAAAGATACGGGGCTGGTGACCCCCGAAGCAGCATCTTTGGGTACAGTAATCAAACCTTTGGTGGAGTATGATGACATCAGCTCGGATTCAGACACCTTCTCGGATGACACGTCCTTCAAATTAGACAGGAGGGAGAATGATGAGCGTCGTGGAACGGATCGGAGTGACCGCCTGCACAGACATCGTCACCACCAGCACCGGCGGTCTCGAGACTTGCTAAGAACTAAGCAGACCGAGAAAGAAAAAAACCAGGAAGTCTCCAAATCTGGGTCCACGAAGGACCGGATATCAGGAAGTTCAAAGCGTTCAGCGGAGGGGAGTGATGACTATGGGAAGGCACAAGTATCCAAAAGCAGCAGCAAGGAATCCAGGTCATCCAAACTCCACAAGGAGAAGACCCGGAAAGAACGTGAGTTGAAGTCCGGGCACAAGGACCGGAGTAAAAGTCATCGGAAAAGGGAAACACCCAAAAGTTACAAAACGGTGGATAGCCCCAAACGGAGATCCAGGAGTCCGCATAGGAAATGGTCTGACAGTTCCAAGCAAGATGACAGCCCTTCAGGAGCGTCTTATGGCCAAGACTACGACCTTAGCCCCCCAAGGTCTCACACTTCTAGCAATTATGACTCTTACAAGAAGAGTCCTGGGAGTACCTCAAGAAGGCAGTCAGTCAGCCCACCTTACAAAGAGCCTTCTGCTTACCAGTCCAGCGCTCGCTCACCCAGCCCCTACAGTAGACGACAGAGGTCTGTGAGTCCCTATAGCCGGAGACGGTCATCCAGCTACGAAAGGAGCGGCTCTTATAGCGGGAGATCACCCAGTCCCTACGGTCGAAGGCGATCTAGCAGCCCTTTCTTGAGCAAGAGGTCTCTGAGTCGGAGTCCGATCCCCAGGTGAGCTGTTACCTGTCTTTCCTAAGGTCGGGTGGGTTGGGAGCGGTTGGCAATTCGTCCTTACAACGTTTTGTTAAAGCTTGCAGTGTTCGTCTTTGGCTAGGGTGGCTAGTCATTTAGGTAAGTTTGGGTTTTCCTTTAACCCAGAATTGAGAAGTAAAGATTTCACATGCCTCCAGCTGCTCAAGCAAGGTAGGTAGGTACTTGCAGTAATGGGAATCTTCAGTGGTAAGAAATCCTAGGGAGTGCATGATCTCCAAACTTATTTAGAGCTACTTGTTGCTTTGTCTTAACTTTGTAAGTCATATTGATACCAGTGTTTAAAACACAGCTTTACAGTGTTTAAGAAGAAAAACGAGAAATTACAAGTTTTCATTAAACAATTTATTTAATTTTATGTGCATTGGTGTGAGGGTGTCAGATTCCCTGGAACTTGAGTTAGAGACAGTTGTGAGCTGCCATGTAGATGCTGGGAATTGAACCTAGGTCCTCTGGTAGAACAGCCAGTGCTCCTTAACCTTAAGCTGAGCCACCTCTCCAGCCCCATGAATTTACATTTCTACTATTTTGAGTCCTTTTGCCTATTATCCTACCAATTTTGTCTTCTGGGTCACCAAATCTAATTAGTTATATCTTACTGAATAGCCCTATCTTGTAACTGTTTAGTAAAAATTGAGCTAATGAGGGTGTTTTCTTTTTGACATTTAGCCTAGCAAAAAGTGATTCCAAAGAGTTTGAATTTTTTTTCTAGCACCACTGTTGACTTATTTTAACACTAGTACTTTTTTTTTTAAGATTTTGTCTTTTTTATTACATATGAGCGTTTTATTTCCATCCATGTAATGTTTACATGCATTTATGGTATCCTCAGAGGCCAGAAGAGGGTGTGGAGTCTCCTGTTTCTGGAGTTACAGTTGTGAGCTGCCATGTGGGTGCTGGGATTTGAACCCCGGTGCTCTGGACCACTGAGCTATCTCTCTAGCTCAACACTAGCAAGTTTTCCTTGAAATATATGGTAATAATTGCCTTCAGCTTGATATTTTTGCAAGAAAGATGTGTTAATTTGAAATTGCCTATGGAAAATTGTGTTCTTGTTTCATGTCTGAACCCATCACTTTCCACAAAAACAATAGGAGCGTTAGTGTTTTTGGTTTTTCGAGACAGGGTTTCTCTGTAACAGTCCTGGCTGTCCTGGAACTCACAGAGATCCACCTGCCTCTGCCTCCTGAGTGCTGGGATTAAAGGCATGTGCCACCACTTTCCGGCAGGAGCTTTAGTTTTATCTGAGTGGAATCTTAATATTTCTTTGTAACCTTTGGCAAATGATTAATTTGTCCATACCTGAGTTTCTTTATGTGAAAAATAGGAGTACCTGCTTCAAGGCTGTTGTGAAGATTAATAAATATGAAGCATGTTACTGTATCTTGTACCTAGAATGTACATTTTATGGGTGAAAACCACAGGTAAAGATTAATTCATGCATATGCTTTATAAGTCAGAGTATATTTCACTGTCTAAGGTAAATACACTAAAGTGTATTTGCCTAACTACAGTGCTTAAATTTTCTTAGTATTTTCTCATTCTGGTATTAAAAAAAATCAAACATAGGTTGAAAGAATTATGATAAACTTGCAGATATCTAACACCTAAATTCTGCAATTAACATATTTTGTCATGTCTGTTTATCTTCATTATTTCATCTTTTGTTTAGGTTCATCTCAAAATTGTAGCAAACAGCATACTTTTATAAACATTTACCATGCAAACCATTTCTTAGAGTTCATAATTTTTTAGAGAGGTATGATTTATATCTATTGGAATACGTAAGTGATAAATGTACCATTTGTAATGTTGCATAGTTATAAAAGGGAATCTAAGAATTTTATGTTTTTTATACAGAGTTTCATGCTGTAACCTAGGATGGCCTGAAATTTGCTGTGTACCTTATGCTGGTCTGAAACTGGCCTGAAATTTCCAGCAATCCTACTTTACCCTCTTGACTGTTGGGATTACAGACATTATCTATAAAATTAGACAGAATATTTGTTTTCTTTAGAGTATTAACATTAAGGTTACTTGAAAAATTTTTTACTCTTGAGTTTAGAAATTTAAAGGGTTAAAAGAGAATTTTGGGTGAGAGTTTTTGTTTTGAAATCATTCTTTTTTCATTCTTAGATATGTGCAGATAACATGTTCTCTTAAGTGAACTGAGAAAGTTGTGTTCTTTTAATTGAAATGAATGTAGTGATGGCAGATATAAACCTAGTAGTGTGTGGAGACAGTATGCTGGTGGGGTATGCAAGTATAAACATAAAATATGGAAACATGCACTTTTTGTTGTGTTGTACAGAGCATTATTTATATCCATCTATTATATAATTTTGTTTATTGCAATTCCCAACAGTAAGTAACCAAAAAAAATTATAGAGGTTGGAACCTGAGCAGACTGGCACACATCCATAAGTTCAGTGTTTTGAGAAACTGTAGCAAGAGAATTTTGATTTCAAGGCCAGCCTGGACTGTTGTTTGAAACCTTATCTCAAAAAGACCAAGCACAATGGGCTGACAAGATGGCTCTCTACCTCAGTTTGAGCCTTAGACCCTCATGTAAGGTGGAAGGAGAGAACTGACTTCAGAGTTATCCTCCAACATCTATAGATCATATACATGCACAATAATAATAAAAATCTCTTTCTTTCCTTCCTCCCCAGCTTCCTTTATCTCTTTATTTTTTCTTTTCGCAATAGAGTTACTCTGTGTAGCTCTGGCTGTCCTGGAACTCACTCATTCTGTAGACCAGACTGGCCTCAAAATCAGACTCAGAGATCAATCTGACTCTGCTTCTCTAGTGCTGGGATTAAAGGCGTGTACCACCACTGCCCCACCAAATTTATTTCTTTTTGAGATAGGTCTCATGTAGCTATGGCCAACCTACAATTTTTTATATAGACCAGACTGGCCTAGAACTCAGAGATCCACCTGTCTCTTGCCTCCATAGTGCTATTAAAGGCTTGTGCTATCATGCTGACATAAGAAGAATTGAAAAGGCTCCTTTCCCTCCAAAAAGAGGGCTGGTGATATAATTCAGTTTACATAGAATGGTTAAGGCCCTAATTTACTTTTCTATTTTTTCAAGAGAGGTTTCTCTTTGTAGCTTTGGCTGTCCTGGCACTCTGTGATAGATTCTTCATTTGGGAAAAATAGACTGGGGGAAAACACCATTTTGATTTTGATTGTGGGTCAGTGCTTGGGAATGAACTCAGGGATTTTTGCATGTTAAACAAGTGCTCACTATGTAGACCAGGCTGGCCTAGAACTCAGAGATTTCATCTGTCTGTGATTCTCTATAGACATAATAGTGTGTCACTAAAGGTGTTTGCCATAACACCCAGGCTTGGCACCTCTTATTTATTTATTTGGCACAGGGTCTCATTATGCAGCCCTGGTTGGCTGGAAATTCATGTAGACCAGGCTGTCTCAAATGCCTGCCTACCTTTTCTTCTCAAGTGCTGGGACTAAAGGCTTCATGCTTCACTTTAGTCAATTTTAGTAGTTTGGATTGGTTTTCTTCACACTGAATCTTGAGCAGGGCAATGTAAAAACGTAACTAATGACACTTTAAAATAATCTGTCCTGTAGATTTCCAGATTTTATTTTACAGTCATTCTTAATAATTTTTTTTTGTTGGACTGGAAAAATGGCTTAGCAGTTAAGAATATTGACTGTAGCTGGGCAGAGTTTGAAGCTAGCCTGGTCTACATATCAAATTTCAGGCTAGTCAGGGCTACATAGGATGATCCCATTTCAAAAACAAAACAAACAAGTAAGTTTATTTGTACATGTAGTAATTTCTTGTTTTATGTGTCTTAAAAAGTTGATTGGCAGTCATTTTTGTGTTAAAGGAACTAAGTGAGACCTTTAATATCAGCAGTCTGGAGATGAGGACACAACTTTGTAATAAGCTGAGGCAGTAAGTAGTACCCTAGTTAAAGGGTTAGAAGTTGGGCTGAAGTGTTAGATCAGTGGTTAGGAGCACTGGTTGTTCTTCAGGAGGAAGATTCCCAGCACCCATACAGTGACTCACAAACATCTCTAAATCCAGTCCCAGAGATTCTGATGCTCTTCTCTGGACGGTAGACACAGACTTGGTCCTCTTACATAAATAAAGGCAAAGATTTATTAAAAAAAATTCTTAAAGTAAGCTTTGTGACTATGACTACATAGTGGGCAATTTTGATGCTTTCGTTTTTTAATTTTTTTAATTTATTTTTCCTATTTTCAAAACAGGGTTTGTTAGCCTTGTCTGTCCTATAATTAGCTCTTGTAGACTAGGCTTGCTTTGAACTTAGATCCTCCTGCTTCTGCCTACCAAGATGAGATTACAAATAGGAGCCAAGTCCTAGCCAAAGGAATTTTTAGTTTTACTTAATTCAAATGTATATTCATGCATGATTGAGAATCTTTAAATTTCCTTTTTTGTTTTTAGATAATAGTCTCAAGTAGCCCAGGCTGGTTTTGAGTTTGCTGTATAATAGGATAACTTTGATCTGATTTTTTTCTTTTTTAAATCTTTAAAATTTTATTGTGTGTTTGCATGCATGTATGTATGTGTTCCATGTGCATGCCTGGCGTTCAAGGAAATAAGAAGTGACTGTTGGATGATTTGAGCTACCAAGTAGGTGTTGGGAAATACGTTTAACCACTGACCTTTTTTTTTTTTTTTTACTTTTCAAGAGGGGGTTTCTTTGTGTACCTCTAGCTGTCCTGGAACTCACTCTGTAGACTAGGCTGGTCTCGAACTTGCATATATATGCCTGCCTCTGCTTCTGAAGTGCTGAGAATAAAGGTGTGCACCACCACCTGGCCAATCCTTTTCTGTAGTGCCAACTTTGAACCTCTTTCTCTCTGTGTGTGTATCTGTGTATGTTTTCTGAGATGGGGGTCTCAATATGTAACTATGGCTGTCCTGGAATTCACTCTGTAGACTAAGATGGCTTTGGACTCACAGATCCACCACACCAGCCTGTCTCTTCCAAGTGCTGGGGGTAAAGGCATGTACCCCAATGCCCAACTTGGTTTATAATTATTTTATATGTGTGGATTGTTTGACTGTATGTCTGTGTACCGTGTACCTGCAGTGATCCGGGAGACAATAAAGGAAGTTGAATCACCTGGAACTAGAGTAACAGTTAATTAAATACCATGTGGGCTTTGGGATTAGAACCCCAGACCTCTGGAATGTTGATGTTAGGAGCAGCAGGGCTGCGTCCCCGGCACCCTGCCGCCCGCATGGCTAGGTTATGCCCCGAAATAATTACACGGAAACTGTATTCTTTCAAACACTGCCTGGCCCAGCTAGTTCCAGCTTCTTATTGGCTAGCTCTTATATATTGTTCTAACCCATTTCTAATATTCTGTGTAGCCCACGAGCTGTCTTACCAGGGAGGATCTTAACCTGCGTCTGTCTGGAGTGGGAGAATCATGGCGACTCCTCACTAAGCTTCTTTTTCCCAGAATTCTCTTCTGTTTTCTCCACCCACCTAAGGGTGGGCCTATCAAGGGGCCTAGGCAGTTTCTTTATTAATAAGAAATCACTCCCACATCACTGGAACTTCCAGTGTTCTTAATCACTGAGTCAGTCTCTCCTAACCCCATTTCTCCCCTGATTTTTGTTTGTTTGTTTGTTTATTTATTTATTAAAGATTTCTGTCTCTTCCCCACCGCCACCTCCCCTTTCCCTCCCCCTCCCCCACTCAAGTCCCCTTCCCTTGTCAGCCCAAAGAGCAATCAGGGTTCCCTATTTTTTTTTTTTTTTTTTTTTGAGATGGTAATCTTGTCTTTGAACTCAGATGTTCTTATGCCTCTGCCTTTCAAGTGCTAGGATTAAAGGACTGTGCCACCATGCCTGGCTTTAATCATCTTTTAAAATTGATAACTCAGAATGGGATCAAATTTACAGATGTAGACCCTGTTTTGCTGACCTATTGTCTTCTTTTATCTCTGTTTATTGTCTATTTCAAACTGCCTTTTTTCTTTTGTCAGTAGGAAATCCATGAAGTCCAGAAGCAGAAGTCCTGCATATTCAAGACACTCATCTTCTCATAGTAAAAAGAAGAGATCCGGGTCACACAGCCGTCATTCCAGTATCTCACCTGTCAGGCTTCCATTGAATTCCAGCCTGGGAGCTGAACTCAGTAGGAAAAAGAAGGAAAGAGCAGCTGCTGCAGCAGCAGCAAAAATGGATGGAAAAGATTCCAAGGGTTCACCCATCACTCTGACTAAAAAAGATAAAGTTGAGGTGAAGGAGTCAGGGTTAGAGTCTAAAAAGTTACCCAGAGGTATAAAGTCAGAAAAATCTATCCCAGACACTGAACTGATAAATGTAGCACATTCAAACACAGAGGTAAAAAATTGTTTAGATGTAGGGAAAGTTAAGTTGGATGAGAACCTGCAGAAGCATCCTGTTCTTAAGGATTTGAAAGCTCAGGGAGTAAAAGACACTAAACCTGTAGCACTGAAGGAGGTGATTGTTACTTCTAAGGAGACAGAGACGTCAGAAAAGGAGGCCCTTCCACCTCTCCCCACAATTACTTCTCCACCCCCTTTACCATCTACTACCCCTCCACCTCAGGCACCCCCTTTGCCACCTTTGCCTCCACTACCAGCTATTCCACTGCAGCCACCTCTGCCTCCTCCCCAACCACCATCTAGTCAAGCTCCTGTTTCTAGTGCTTCAACTTTGCCCTCTTCTCCTCACCCAAGGACATCTACTCTGTGCTCTCAGACAAATTCTCAGCCCCCTGTACAGGTTTCTGTGAAGACTCAAGTATCTGTAACAGCTGCTATTCCACATCTGAAAACTTCAACATTGCCTCCTCTGCCCCTCCCTCCCTTGTTACCTGGAGATGATGATATGGATAGGTAAGTTCCGTAATAGAATGGAAGAATCAGTAATGTAATTGCTTTTTAAATTTTTTGAAACTATTACTGCATATCTTTTCAGGATGCTTTTATTGTTAGGAATTGCTTTTTTGTTTTTTAGTGGAAACAGTCCATTTAAAAAAAAAATTACATTGTTTATTTTCAAGTGTGTATAATGTGTCTCAGTGTGGAGACCAGAGGAAAATTTGGTGGGAGTCAGTTCTTTTTTGTCCTGTGTCTCCAGCCTCAGGCTTGGTGGCAAGTGCTTTTACCTGCCGAATTATCTTGATGGGTAGCTTTTGGGGTTAGGCAGGGATAGGGTGCTGTTATGCTCACTGTGTAGTCTCAGGTAACCTTAAGCTCACAGCAGTCCTGCCTCAATCTCCTGGATGCTGGAATTATAGATATGTATCACTATGCCTGACAAAAATTAGATTTTATGTGTGTGTGCTTGTATGACTATTTTGTCTATACATATGTGTACTGTGACTGTGTGTGGTCAGAAGATGATGATGGAACCTTTGGAATAAGAGTATGGATGGTTCTAAACTACCGTAAGGGTTCAGGGAACTGCACTCAAATCTCTAGAAGAGTAGTAGTTAATTACTCTAAATTACTGCTCTTAATTATATCTTTCCAGTCCCACTTTTACTCAATTTGAGTATTTTTTGTTTGTTTATATGCATGTGTGTGAGTCTGTATGAATTTATGTACATCACATGAATGTAGGACAATATAGGCCAGAAGTTATTGGATCTCTTAGGACTGTAGTTATAAGTGTTGGTGAGCTGTCATGTGAGTGAGTACTAAGAACCAAACCAGTTCCTCTGGAAGAGCAATAATCATTCTTAAACCCATGAGCTATTTTTCCAGGTCTAAGTGTACTTTTTTTTTTTAAATTTATTTGTGTGTACATATGTGTGCATCAGAGCACAGAAGGTACCCTGATACCTCATGTCTTACATAACCATATTTCTCCGCCATATCTTTATTTTAAAAAGTTTATTGTGGGGCTGGAGAGATGGCTCAGTGGTTAAGACCACTGGCTCTTCTTCCAGAGCTCCTGAATTCAATTCCCAGCAACAACATGGTGGCTCATAGCCATCTGTAATGAGATCTGGTGCCCTCTTCTGGCCTGCAGGCATACATGCAGACAGAACACTATACATAATAAATAAATTTAAAAAAAAGTTTATTGTGTGCTTGTGTGTGTGTGTGTGTATGTGTGTATGTACCATGTTATACATGTGGAAATCAGAGGGCCACTTTGTGGAGTTGGTTCTTACCTTTGTTCTTTACATAGGTTCCAGAGGGAGCTCAGGTCAGCAGGGTTTCATGACAAACATACATCTTTACCCACCCAGCTATCTCAATACCCCTGTTTTCTTTTTGTAATATTTTAATTTTAATATCTATAAAGAATTTTTAGAGTGATACTTTTTGCTTGTTTGTTTATTCCTTCAGAGAGAGTTTTCTCTGTGTAATGGCCTTGACTGTCCTGGAACTTGACCAGGCTGGCCTTTAACTCACAGAGATCCTCTTGCCTACTGAGTGCTGGGATTAAAGGCATACACTACCATCTCTGGTGGGTGATATAATTTATAAAGATCACTTATCCTATAGTTAAAAAAAGAGCAGTATGTAGAATCTTTGATAATTAGACTATAACTTACAATGGGATGATCTTAAATTTTAATTAGTATTTTGAGTGTTGATTACTGAAATGATTATGAAGCATGCATCTTTTTTCTTTTTACTTTATGTCAATTGGTGTGAAAGTATCAGATTCTCTGGAACTGCTGGGGTTACATACAGTTGTTTTTTTTTTTTTTATTTTTTTATTTTTTGGTTTTTCGAGACAGGGTTTCCTCTGTGGCTTTGGAGCCTGTCCTGGAACTAGCTCTGTAGACCAGGCTGGTCTCGAACTCACAGAGATCCGCCTGCCTCTGCCTCCCGAGTGCTGGGATTAAAGGCGTGCGCCACCACCGCCCAGCAGGTTACAGACAGTTGGGAGCTTCTATGAGGGTGCTAGGAATTGAACCGGGTCCTCTGGAAGAGTCAGTGGCCTTAACTGCTGAGCCATCTCTCCAGCCCCAAAGTGTTAATCTTATAAATGATATTATGAAAGTTGTTTTTTTTTTTTAATCTATTGGGCCATACTAGCTGAACAAGAAGACCTCCAGACAGATATGCTTTAGCCATATAGAAGTCTTACTGGTTTTTCTGTTGAGATCTTACCCTCTTATTTTCTAGGGGATGAGTTGCATTTACTGTTGTAGACTTCATTACTTCATTGTAAATAGAAAAATGAGTGCCATTTATTTTATTTATTTTTTAAATTTATTTAGTATGTATATAGGGTTCTGGGCACCAAATCTCATTATAGATGGGTGTGAGCCATCATGTGGTTGCTGGGAATTGAACTCGGGACCTCTGGAACAGCAGTCAGTTCTCTTAACCTCTGAGCCATCTCTCCAGCCCCATTTATTTTAAATTGCAAACCTATTTTCCAACTTTTTCTGATATCAGTAGTTTGACATCATTAATTTAAGTATGATTCTGTGTGTGGGTGCATGAGTATATGGAAGTGCAGGCGTGCAAACAGAGGCCTAAAGTCAGTCTTGGGTATTGTTCCTCAGGAGTTACTCACCTTGTTTTTGTTTTGTTTTAATTTATAAATATATTTAATATAGCTGGGGGTGGGCCATTAATACTAATACTTGGAAAGCAGAAGTAGGCGGATCTAGTTTGGTCTACATAGTAAACCCCAGAACAGCCAGGTCTATTAAAATCCTGTCTTAAATTTTTTCTTTTTTTAAATTTGAATTATAAGTATTTTGCCTGCCTTCCCCCCCCCCCCCCCCCCCCCCCCAGACACGGTTTCTCTGTGGCTTTGGAGCCTGACCTGGAACTAGCTCTGTAGACCAGGCTGGTCTCGAACTCACAGAGATCAGCCTGCCTCTGCCTCCCCAGTGCTGGGATTAAAGGCGTGCGCCACCATCGCCCAGCTTGCCTGCATATTTGTATGTGCATTGTAAGATTGGGTTTCTCTGTGTTGCCCTAACTATCCTGGAACTAGCTTTACGGAGCAAGCTGGCCTTGAACTCACAGAGACACGTCGTCGTACCCCCCCCTTCTCTGCCTCCTGAGAGCTGGGATTAAAGGTGTGTGCCACCACTGTCTGACCAGGTCAGCTCTTTCTTATATACAAGAATTACAGCAACCTAATCGTCACAGGTGAACCTTTTAAAAAAAACGGTGAATCCGGGAGGCAGAGGCAGGTGGATCTCTGTGAGTTCGAGGCCAGCCTGGTCTATAAGAGCTAGTTCCAGGCCAGGCTCCAAAGCTACAGAGAAACCCTGTCTCGAAAAACCAAAAATAAAAAATAAAAAAATAGTGAATGAGCCAGGCAGTGGTGACGCAAGCACTAGGGAGGCAGATCTCTGTGAGTTCAAGGCCAGCCTGGTCTACAGGAGTGAGTTCCAGGACAGGCACCAAAGCTACAGAGAAATCTTGTCTTGAAAAAACAAAAAAACAAAAACAAAATGTGAATGAGAAACCACAAATTATACATACAGACAGAGTGTGTACATCAGTATTTCCTAGTAACTATTTTAGCATATAATATCTCTTTATGTCAGGCTCTCTATCCATACTTTGCACATTTAGTGCCTTATACTAAAAGCTGTAGTGTTTGTTAAATTTGGAATTTTATGGGTCTTCATTTTTTTTCTAGGTTTTTAGTATATTGAAATTTACTGAAGCAAGATTTTGACCCTTTCAGATTTGTGTAGTCTGAACTGATAGTACATGTCTTATTAAAAACTCATCCTTATAAACTTCCTTAAACTAGAATCTTCTTCTTTTTTTTTTTTTTTTTAAGACTAGTCAAATGCAGTAGTGAGAAAGGGGGAAACTGTAGAACAGGAGTTCAATCTGTAACTGACTGTGAACAATCAATTGAGATCACTCACTACCTTCGGACCATTCTTGTAGAATGTCTTTTTTCTTTTTTTTTTTTTCTAAAAAGACTGTCTCTCTTTGTAGACCTGCCTGTCCTAGAACTCTCTTTGTAGACCAGGCTGGCCTTAAATTGATAGAGCTCCTCCTGCATCTGCCTCTTTGTGTATTAGGATTAAAGGCTAGCAGGATGCACATTTTTCAATGGTAATAAACTATATTTGAAGACATTAAATAAATCTTTGAGAAAAAAAAAGTCAAACATAGACTTAGTGATAGTCCTAGACATTTCAGATATTTTGAGTTTTCTTGTTTTTTTAAGTGAACAACGGAACTAGGAAAATCTCTCAAAATCCTGAAAAATTGAGACTATAAAGAATATTTTGATAGTGTTTGTAGAATTATAATTTTCCTTCTTTATATATTTAAAAATTACAAAAATTTTTGAAAGCTTATATTTTCTCATTTTTTGCTAATAAACTTTTATGCTAGGAAAATCTGACTGTAGATTCTTATGAATGCTCATCTTTACTAGGAGTATTTAAATAGAAAGCGTTCATGATTATACTTTATTGACTTCCCAGTTGTGGTTTATGTGGTACAAACTAAGTAGATTCCTTAATTACTCATTTATAGGGGATTAAGATGATAAAAACTAGTAAGAAGCATTACCTCTTAAAATTATGTTCTTGGGGGTTTTTGTGTTTTTGTTTGTTTGTTTGTTTTGCTTTGTTTTGGAAACAGGGTCCCTTTACACATGCCCTGGAATTCCACTACAGAGGCTTGGCTGGCCTTAAACTCAGAGATTAGCTTGCCACTGCCACTTGAATGCTGGAATATGTGGTAAATATGGGGGGCCATTTAGTCTGGGTAGGTCACCCAAAGGAAGTTCTTTACTTCCAACCATTATCACCTGGTACTCTGGCCATCAATAAATTTAAATAAGAGGCCTGAGTCTCAGTAGTTTACCACGAAGCAATACCTGGTAGCCAGAAAACACCACAAACTGAGATTACCCGATCCCCACTCAAGAGCAGACCATTCAAAGTTAATGTATATAGGATCACCTGCCAGCACACCTCATCAGGACACCCCTAGACAAATGTCAGCCAATCAGGGGGTCTTGAACCTCAGAAACCCCTAACCCTCACCTTTTCTACTATGAAAACCCAGTTCTAATTTAGTTCGGTGCTCTCTGTTATTCCAATACGTTGGACGTGCAGAGACTGAGTTTGCAAACTTGATTAAAATAAAGGATCTTTGCTTTTACATATGGGACTCAGTCTCCTTTGTTGGCTTTTGTGAGGACCCCACGGATTTGGGCATAACATTTGGGTGCCGTCTGGGATCCCCCAAAGCCTACTAGGACTACCACCTGTAGAGCCTTCAACCAGCCTATGAGTTTTTGTTTCATGTTGTTAAGTTTTCTGTGTTCATGAAACATGTCTCTCAGGTCTGTGTCATGAGTTTTTGTGAGCGGGCCCAGAATCCGTAGTGCCTGAAAATGATCTGCTGATGTGCAAAAAGATCACAGTCTTTATGCCTGGGGATACATTCTTGGGCCCTTCTGCAGAGAGTGGTTCTCTCTGGGGAGACACGCGGGTCTCTCAGTTCGGTGGTGAGACACGCAAGTAGCGTGGTCAGTTGGCTTTTGTGGGGACCCCGCAGATTTGGGCATAACAGTAACAACACATACACAGACACACACACGTGCATGCATATACACAATTTTAAAATAAAACTATTTTTAAAATTTGGATTTACCAGGCTTTATAGCAAATATCTATAATCCTAGTACACAGGAGTCTAAGATGAGAGGATTGCTGGGAGTTCAAGGCCAGCCAGAAATACTAGTGAGATCTTGTATCAAAAATAAATAAAAAACAAAAAACAAAAGCCCCAAAATATTTCAATTTCTAATTTCTAGAAAGCTGACTTTATCTTATTCCTACTGACTACTCTAATTTGCTAGCTATATAATCCTGTAATGGTCTTATAATAATTTTGCTGTCCCAAAGACATCCATGCAGGAAAAAAAAAAAAGGAATAATTTTGCTGCTTGAATTTTTTTTTTCCCCCTTCTTCGAGATAGGGTTTCTCTGTAGCTTTGGAGTCTGTCCTGGAACTAGCTCTTGTAGACCAGGCTGGTCTCGAACTCACAAATCCGCCTGCCTCTGCCTCCTGAGTGCTGGGATTAAAGGTATGCGCCACCATGCGCCACCACTGCCTGGCCCCTAAATTCTTTTTAAGTCTTTAGTCATCAAGTGATAAATTGTTGGCCTTTTTCATTTAAATCTTTGTTAGAGAAAGTTAACTTTTGTTAAAGAGTAAGTTTCATGAATTGTATGAGCTACAATCATACATTGTGACTTTTAGAACTTGGATTGCACATTTTATTTCATTTCAATAAAAAGTATCATTGAATAATTTATGTATTGTTTTAAATATTGAAACAGCATTACATATAGTCACTGGCCTTAATAAATAATGCTTGCTGTTTAAACTGGGCAGTGGTGGTATACCTTTAATCCCAGCACTCGGGAGACAGACTCAGGTGGACCTCTGAGTTCAAGGCTAGTCTTGCCTACTGGAGAGAGTTTCAGGACAGCCAGGGTGGTTATTCAGGTTCACCCTGTCTTGAAAAGCCAAAAAGAAAAAAACAGCAAAAAACAACTTGGCAGTGTAATTGAGGCTAGCCTCTTTTAATTTCTGATCCTTCTGCCTGAACCTCACCAAGTTTAGATCCTTCCTTCCCCTTCCTCACCAGATATACTGGGTATTTAACTCAGGATCTGGCACCTGCTAGGCAAGAATTATATCACTTTGAACCAGAGAAATGGCTCAGTGGTTTAGAGCACTGCCTGTTCCTCTAGAGGACCTGATTTCAATATCTTCGTGGCAGTTTACATTCCATCTGTAACAACAGTCCCAAGGTATCTGATGCCCTCTTCTGACCTTTACAATCATTGCATGCATGTAGTGCATAGATTGTACATATAAAAATAAATATTAACTGAGTTCAAAGCCAGCCTCTGGTCTACAAAGTGAGTTCCAGGACAGCTAGGACTGTTACACAGAGAAACCTTGTCTCAAAAAACCAAAAATCAAAACAAAACCAAAACAAATTAAAAAAAATTTGTAATTAAAGTATACCTAAAATATTAACATATTAAGAACATTCCCCCACTATTTTCACACATGAGAAAATAGGCGTATTCACAGTGCTTACTTTAAGAAATTTTACTTTAATAATTGGTAAAATGAAAACACTTAATCTTGCTCTTTAATAAATTGGTTATATTAATCAGTTAATTAACTAATATACTTCAGTAAGTTCTAACTTTTTAGTATTTTTTTAGATTTATTGTTATGGCTATGAAAGTTTTAGCTACATTAACGTATGCATACCATGTGTATGTCTGGTTCCGACAGAAATCAAAGGAAGGCATGGTATTCCTTGCAACTGGAATTATTTATAGTTGTGAGCTGTCAGGTCTGTGCTGGGAATTGAGCTGCAGTCCTCCTAAAGAGCCTAATTTGGCCCTTAGCCATAATTCCATAAGTAAAATCTTTAATCTTTTTAATAGTTGTGCATAATAGTATTCTTTTAAAGCTTATTTGAATAGTCTCTGAGTAATCTTTTTATCCTCTCATCTCTACTTAGTCCAAAAGAAATGGTTCCATCAAAGCCTGCAAAGAAAGAGAAGGAGCAGAGAACTCGCCATCTACTCACCGATTTGCCTCTTCCTCCTGAGCTACCAGGTGGTGATCCATCTCCCCCAGATTCTCCAGAGCCAAAGGTGATTACGCCTCCTCAACAACCGTATAAAAAGAGACCAAAGTAAGTTTATCAGTTAAACTGATAAAGTTTAAGTTTAAAGTTTAAGTTTTTTTGAGACAGGGTTTTTCTGTTGCTTTGGTGCCTGCCCTGAAACTCTTTGTAGAGCAGACTGGCCTCGATCTGACAGAAATCTTCCTGCCTTTGCATTCCAAGTGCTGGGATTAAAGACGTGTGCCACCACTGCCCAGCATGTGACTTTTTTATTTTATGTGTATGGGTATTTTTTCTTTATGTAGTTCTGTGCCTTAAATACTCTCTTAAATACAGAGAGTCCCAAAGAGGGTGATAGGTCTTCTGGGACTGCACTTACAGTTAGTTGTAAGTCATCATGTGGGTGCCAGGAATTGAACCCATGTCCATGACTTTTAACTGCTTAGTTATCCGTCTCACCAGGACTTTAGGGATTTTTCTTACTTTTTTTTTTTTTTAAAAAAAATATTTATTTATTTATTTATTTATTTATTTATTTATTTATTTATTTATTTATTTATTATGTATACAATATTCTGTCTGTATGCCTAAAGGCCAGAAAAGGGCAACAGACCTCTTTACAGATGGTTGTGAGCCACCATGTGGTTGCTGGGAATTGAACTCAGGACCTTTGGAAGAGCAGGCAATGCTCTTAACCACTGAGCCATCTCTCCAGCCCGGATTTTTCTTCTTTTTAGTTTGTTTTTGAGACAGGGTTTCTCTGTCTAACTTTGGAACCTGTCCTGGAACTCAAGACCAAGCTGGCCTCGAACTTACAGAGATAACTCACCTGCCTCTGCCTCCCGAGTGCTGAGACTAAAGGCCTCCATGGCCTGGCTAGGGATATCTTTTTAATTGAAGAGTATTCTCTTCTGTTTTTTATCTAAAATTTATATATCTTTTACAACTCATAGAAGCGGGAGTTAAAAAATACATCTTTTATTTCATTTTCATTGGAAACAGTCTTTGCGAGGCTATTCCTACAGATCTTAGTTACTGTTTTCTCACTGTGAAGAGACACTATGGCCGAGGCAACTCTTATAAAATAAACCGTTTAATTGAGGGCTTTCTTACAATTTAAGGCATTTAGTCTATTGCCACAGTTGCATGCAAGCACCATCCTGAGAACTACATCTTGATTCATAGGCAGATAGTGGGAATAATACTGGGTCTGGCTTTGGCTTTAGAAACCTCAAAAACCACCTCCAGTACACACTTCTTTCAATAAGGCCACACCTGCTAATCTTTCTAATCCTATCAAAGAATTTCACCACTTGATGACTAGATATTCAAATATATGGCAGCCATTCTCATAGCATAACCACCAAGCATAATACATAGCTAATGTTTTTGTTGTTGTTGAGACAGGATCTTACTATGTTTTTCTGGCTGGCCTGGAGCTCACAGATTGCATGCCTTTAATCCCAGCACTTGGGAAGTAGAGGCAGGCTGATCTCTTGATTTTTAAGGTCAGTGTGCTCTATAGTGTGAGTTCCAGGACAGCCAGAGACCTAGCTACTTAGTGAGATCCTGTCTCAAGCGAAAAAAATAAAAACACCAAACCACATTTCTTTTGAAAAGCAATCCATGTACTTAGTGAAAACTCACACATTCTGCTGCACTACCAGCTTGTATCATTTTGAAGTCAGAATCCATTATAAACACTGACAGTTTATTATTTATTTTCTGCCATTTCAACAAAAATTTTATAAATAAAACTGGACAGTGGTAGCACACACCTTTAATCCTAGCACTTGGGAGATAGAGATTGATGGATCTTGGTGAGTTTGAGGCCAGCCTGGTCTACAAAATGAATGCCAGGACAGGCTCCAGAGCTACACAGAGAAACACTATCTTGAAAACAAAACAAATTTAAACAAAACAAACAAATATGTAAAAAGACAGTCATTTAATGGAGAGGTAACAGTTTTTAATTGGTTTTCTTTTTAGAATTTGTTGTCCTCGTTATGGAGAAAGAAGACAAACAGAAAGTGATTGGGGGAAGCGATGTGTGGATAAATTTGACATTATTGGGATTATTGGAGAAGGAACGTATGGTCAAGTATATAAAGCCAAGGACAAAGACACAGGTAAGTATTTCCTTAAAATTCTTGATGTCAGAAGCATAATAATTTAATAATTACTAGTTCGTTAAATAAATTTAGTAAAATAAGTTTTAGATTTTAATTTGTTCTCTTAATTATTAAGTAGATTAAAATGTTCCAAAAAATAGTTTTGTCAATTCTTAGTTTCGATTTACTCTAGGACCTCCCTGTACTAAGTCCTTTACATGAAATAGCCTAACATTTGCATGTAACCTCTGCCCATTTTCCTGTATAATTTAATTATCTATAGACTATTTGTTACCAATAAAAGCAAATTATGAATAAACATTATTATCATTCAAGGATTAATGACAAAGAAAATGATTTTTGAACATGTCCAGTTCAGACACTATCTCCTTCCAGCTGGAAATGTTTTTAGTTTATAGTAATTTGTCCATGAATGACATACAAAATACAGAGAGCTGACTGTATGGTAGTTTATTATTAAAGTTTTCCTTTTGAGCTAGTTCAGTAGTAGATGGTTTGCATACATTTGTGAGGTTCTGGATTTGATTTTCAGCATTACAAGCTTAAATTTTCTACATTTGTTGTCTATTCTGAATATTGATTTGACTTTTTGATAGGTTTTGTTTTTTGTTTTATATTTTGTTTTAGTCCTAGAATTTGAATTTAGGGCTTACACAAGAAGTCTATCAAAAAAGCTGTAATCCCAGTCTTCTTTGTTGTATATTATAAACTGTTTGTTGCTTTCTGGAAATTTTTGTGTGTTATTTTATGGGGAACCTATTTTATTTATTTATATAACTGATTTAACTTTTTTTTTTTTTTTTTTTTCGAAACAGGGTTTCTCTGTGGTGGTTTTGGAGCCTGTCCTGAAACTAGCTCTTTTTTTTTTTTGGTTTTTCGAGACAGGGTTTCTCTGTGGTTTTTTGGAGTCTGTCCTGGAACTAGCTCATCTAGACCAGGCTGGTCTCCAACTCACAGAGATCCTCCTGCCTCTGCCTCCCGAGTGCTGGGATTAAAGGCCTCCCGAGTGCTGGGATTAAAGGCGTGCGCCACCACCGCCGGCCCTGAAACTAGCTCTTGTTGACCAGGCTGGTCTCGAACTCACAGAGATCCACCTGCCTCTGCCTCCCAAGTGCTGGGATTAAAGGCTTGCGCCACCACCGCCCGGCTCTGATTTAACTTTTATATCCATTGGTGTGAAGGTGCCATATCCCCTGGAACTGGAACTACAGACAGTTGTGAGCTGCCATGTAGGTGCTGGGAACTGAACTTGGGTCCTTTGGAAGAGCAGCCAGTGTTCCTAACCACTGAGCCATATTTAGCAAGTGCACATACATGTGTCTGTTTCTGGCTTTAGTTATATTTGCGTCACGGTACACAGCAAGGAGTCTGTTTTCTTCTTCTACCATGTGATATCACTGGGGAAGCAGAGGTAGAAATTTAAGTTGGAGACAGCTTAGTCTACTTAGCAAAACCTTGTCTCAGAAATGAGAAAGAGAGGTAGGAAAAGAATGAGATTATGTATCAGCTTGAAGACAGGAATAAGGCTGGTTGTGTACCCTGATGTTAGAAGGCATTCTTACCAGAGGCTCAAAGCTCAAACTCTGCCTCTTAAAGAAAAGAAGGGAAACATAGAGGTTTTATGTAAAAAATACAAAAATGCGTACGTCTGAATACCGGTTCATGACAATGACTAATAACTGCAGTTGATTATAGTGACAGTCCATATTTGTTTTATATATTTTTGCAGGAGAACTAGTAGCTCTGAAGAAGGTTCGACTAGATAATGAGAAAGAGGGCTTCCCAATCACAGCCATCCGAGAGATCAAAATCCTTCGTCAGTTAGTACATCGAAGTGTTGTTAACATGAAGGAAATTGTTACAGACAAACAAGATGCACTGGATTTCAAGAAAGACAAAGGTAATAGTAGAAATTTCTGCATCTTTAATTTCATGTGTATGGGGTTTTATCTGCAAGCACACATATGCCTGCAAAAACAAAAACTGCTCTTAACTATAGAGCCATCTCTCTATCTCCATTTATATGAATTTTGGGGGGTGGACAGGGAGAGTTGATGGGGTTTCTATCTACATAACCATTCTGTAACTCACTAAGTAGACCAGGCTGGCCTTGAACTCAGAGTTCTGCTTGACTCTGCCTCCAGAGATCTGAGATTAAAGATAAGCCCAGCATTTAATTTTTAGATAGTCTCCATGTAACGCTGACTCCTGGAAATTTCTGTATGTACACTTTACTATCTTCAAACATGAACTTAGGTATCTACTTTCCTCTGACTCCCAAATTTATTTTTTTAAAAGATTTATTTATTTATTCGTGTACAGTGTTCTGTCTGGATATGTGCCTTCAAGCCAGAAGGGGGTGCCAGATCTCATTTTAGATGGTTGTGAGCCACCATGTAGTTTTTGGGACTTGAACTCGGGACCTCTGGAAGAGAAGCCAGTGCTCTTAACCTCTGAGCCATCTCTCCAGCCCCCAAGTGTATTTTTATCTGTATAAATGTTTTTGTCTGCGCGGAGGCCAGAAGAAGCACTAGATGTCCTGATACTGGGGTTACCAATGGTTGTAAGCAGCCATGTGGATTTTTAGAATTGAATAGAGATCCATTGCAAGAGCTACAAGTGTTCTTATTTACTAAACCATACTTGCTATGTAGAACAGGCTGGATCTCCTAGAGCTGGAGTTGTAGGTGGTTGTAAGCCACACGTTGTTACTGGGAACCAAACTTAGGTCCTTTGCAAGAGCATTATGTGCTCTTAAATGCTGGGCTATTTTTCCAGCTCCTATTTTGTTTTTTAAGACAGGGTCTTATTATGTAGTCTAGGCTGGTCTCCAGTTTCTTGTTAACTTCTTCGTTCAACAGCCTGCCAAATAATTGATTATAGTTTTATACTACCACACAATTTTATTTTTCCTTTCTTAGCTTGCTTATCACTGTGTGAACTTTTTAGGATATTATCTCACGAAGCTAGGCTAGCCTCAAGCTTTCTATATAGGTAAGGATGACATTGAACTTATTACCCTCATGCCTCTATCTTCCAAGTGCTGAGATTAAAGTGATGTGCTGCCATGTGTAGTTCTGCCAGTGTCAAAATTTTTTTGACAGGCCGGGCGGTGGTGGCGCACGCCTTTAATCCCAGCACTTGGGAGGCAGAGGGAGGCGGATCTCTGTGAGTTCCAGACCAGCCTGGTCTACAGAGCTAGTTCCAGGACAGGCTCCAAAGCCACAGAGAAACCCTGTCTCGAAAAACCAAAAAAAAAAAAATTTTTTTTGACAGGTTGACCTCAGTCTTCTTTCTTTCTTTTTTTCTAAGATCTATTTATGTGTACAAATGTTTACATGTGTATGTGCATGCCATATGTGTACAGTGGCCACAGAAGTCAGAGTTGTTGTCAGATCCCCTGGAACTGGAGGTATAAGTGATTGTAAGCCACCATGTGGATGCTGGAAATTGAACTCAGGTCTTCTGCAAGAACCATAAGTGCTCTTAACCTCTGAGTCATCTCTCCAGCCCCAGAGTTTTGCTCTGCCCTCTTCTCCCCCAAACACCTATTTGATTACTTTTCAACACAGGGTTTCCCTACGAAATTCTGGATGTTCTGGAACTCTCTTTGTAGGCCAGTTTAGCCTCAAGCTCACAGGGTTCCAACTGTTTCTATCTCCAAGTGCTTGTTTTTGTAAACTTGTTTTATTTCTATTTTATGTGTGTGGATGTTTTGCCTAAAATGCATGTTTGCATTTTATACATCCAGTACTGGTGGAGGACCTATAACTGACATTATCGACAGTTGTGAGTAACAGAATGGGTGCTGGAATCAAATCTGGATCCTCTGTAATAACAGCAAGTGCTCTTAACTGCTGCTCCTTCCTTTTAGTCCCAAATCTTACTTTTTTTTTATTGTTTTTTTTTGGGGGGTGTGTGATATGAGTTAAGGTGATTGCAGATGAGGGCTTTAAGAGATAGCTCCCTCATTATGAGGACCTGAATTAAATTCCTAGACATCACACAGAAGATTTAGGCATGGCGGAGTACACATGAAATCCAAGTGCCAGGAAAGCAAATGGGCAAGCCATTGGCACTGGCTGGTCAGTCATCCCATTGACTAAGTGAATTAAATAAAGCAAGAGACCCTGTTCTTAAAAAACAAGTTGGGACTGTCCAGATGGCTCAGCAGGTAGAGGCTCTTTCTTTCAGGATTGACAACCTAGGTAGATCCCACAGGTAACATGAACCATTTCCTAATTTTTTTTTGACCTTCCCATGCATGCCACGCACACACAAACAAAATAATTAACAAGAAAAAGACAATGAATGCCACCTGCATTTGACCTAAAATATGTATTAGCAGATTAAGCTAGGTATGGAGTTATATTACTATAATCATAACTTGAGGCTGGGCCGAGGATCACAGGTTCAAAGTCTATGAAATAGGTTTGAGTCCAACGTAGGATAATATATAAAAACTTAATTCTTTTTTCAAAAGAGTGATTTTTTGTTTGTTTGATTTTGCTAAATAGCATTGTTTTTTTAAAATATTTATTTATTTATTATGTATACAGTATTCTGTCTGTGTGTATGCCTGAAGGGCAGAAGAGGGCTCCAGACCTCTTTACAGATGGTTGTGAGCCACCATGTGGTTGCTGGAAATTGAACTCAGGACCTTTGGAAGAGCAGGCAATGCTCTTAACCACTGAGCCATCTCTCCAGCTCCCAATAGCAGTTTAATAAAATATACATTTTTAGGCCAGGTACTGGTGGTGCTTGCCTTTAATCTCAGCACTTAGGAGGCAGAGGCAGGCAGATATATGTGAATTCGAGGCCAGCCTAGTCTACAGAGTGAATTTCCAGGACAGCCAGGGCTACACAGAAAAACCCTGTTTCATAAACCAACTAAGCAAAACATGCATTTTAAAAAACAATTACTTTTTTTTGTGTATGGGTGTTTTGTCTGTACATACCACATGTGTGCATGGTGCCCACAGAGACTAGACATGAGATTCCCTGGAACTGGGATTACAGACATGTGGGTTCTGGGTATCAAACCTGGATTCTCTCAAAGAGCAGCCAGTGCTTGTAACAGCTGAGCCATCTCTCTAGTCCCCTAAACATTCTTTATGAATAAATTTCAAGGTAGTATGTAAGATAAAATTACTTGGTCAACTGATTTTTATAGTAGTTTTAGGTTGATTTTAAGAAATACAGTAAAAATTTATATAGCCTTAATTTGAAGCCATCCTTGCATATATTCCCCAACATTGAACCTAGTCATACACTCTACAACTAAGTGTCTGTGACTGTTATCATAGATATGTAATGAACATAATCATTTATGTTTGTATAATTACAGTCTATGCTGCTCACAGATAGCTAAACATCTAAGTTTTTTTTTTCTTTTCTCTTTTTGGTTTTTCGAGACAGGGTTTCTCTGTAGCTTTGGAGCCTGTCCTGGAACTAGCTCTGTAGACCAGGCTGGTCTAGAACTCACAGAGATCCGCCCGCCTCTGCCTCCCAAGTGCTGGGATTAAAGGCGTGCGCCGCCACCGCCCAGCTTACATCTAAGTTTTTTTTTTTTAAAGATTTATTTACTTATTATGTATACAATGTTCTGTTAACACATACGCACCAGAAGAGGGCACCAGATCTCATTACAGATGGTTGTGAACCACCATGTGGTGGCTGGCAATTGAACTCAAGACCTCTGGAAGAGCAGCCAGTGCTCTTAACCTCTGAGCCATCTCTCTAGCCTCTTTTGTTGCTTTTTTGAGACAGGGTTTTTTCTTTGTAACAGTTCTGACTGTCCTGGAACTCATTCTGTAGACCAGACTGTCCTGGGACCATTGGTAACCTCAGCTCCAGGGACATTCTCTTCTGGCCTCCTGCACACTTTTAATCAGTAGTACATACCATCACATAGATACATATAATAACAAAAAACCCCACAGCTGAGCCATATATCTAGTTCTTTCTAAGAAAAATCAAAGGTGCTTGTAAGGTGCAGTATGGGTTTTAGATATGAATTCCTAGTCCTCTAGTAGAGCAACCAGTTCTCTGCACCATCTCTCCATCCCATATCTGTTTTTCTAGTGTTATCTGGTCTTAGCTTTGTCTTCTCCAAGGTACTCCTTTAATTCCATTTTTCTTTATTGGAACTTTGAACTGTTTGAAAATGTTCAGGAAACTGAGAATGTTTGTGTCCTCATTCTGTTCTTCACCACCCCCCCCCCCCCAAAAAAAAAATGAAGAAAGGAAAAAAGAAATGCAAAGGGATGAGGAGCTGTCTTAGTGGATAAGTGCTTGCCATGCAATCATGAAGACCCAAGCTGAGCACAACAATGCATGTCTCTGATCCTGCATTTCGTAAGGCAGAGAGACAAATGAATCTCAGGGACTCACTGCCCAGTCTCTCTAGCCAAAACAGTAAGCTTAGTAACTAAACAGTAAGTTTAGTGTGAGACTGTCTCAAAAAATAAGGTGGAGAATGATAGAAGAGGACAATAACCCAGAGTCAACCTTTACCCTTGATACCATGTGTACATGTGAGCCAGGGTGTCGTTGTGCACATACTGTGTGGACGTGCACACTTACACAAAAACATTCTATCTCTTTAAAAAATAAATGCATACCATTTGGGAAATGTGAGAGAGTTCTTGAAGTCTACCCTATATATTAAGAAGCCCTGCCTTGGGGCTGGAGAGATGGCTCAGTGGTTAAGAGCATTGCCTGCTCTTCCAAAGGTCCTGAGTTCAATTCCCAGCAACCACATGGTGGCTCACAACCATCTGAAATGCGATCTGATGCCCTCTTCTGGCCTGCAGATAGACACACAGACAGAATATTGTATACATAATAAATAAATAAAATATTAAAAAAAAAAAAGAAGCCCTGCCTTGTACTGAGGATGTAGCTAAATTATGGATTACTTGCCTAGTTACACTTAGTACCTTGGGTTGGATTTTTTTTTTTTTTTATGGTTCTATTGAACAGAATTATAAACCTGGAGGATTTTGTTGTGTTTTGCTAAGGTTTCAAAATGCCCGGACTTCTCTATAACTGTGTAGTTAAGGGTGACCTTTAATTTCTCTACCACACATGATTTATGAGGTATTGGATTCAAACCCAGGGTTTTGCTAGGTATAGTGGTGTGTGTCTTTAAACTTGGGAGGTTTAGGCAGTTTGGGGGCCAGCCTGGTGTGCATATCTACATATCTGCAGTGTAGCTTCCATGCCAGCTCTGTCGGAAAACAAAAACATAGTACAAACCCAGGATTTTATGCATGCTTGGCAAACACTCTCCCAAGTAAACTACAGCCTCAGCCTGTAGGACTAGAATTCTACATTTACAACATTGGTATAAATTCCAAATTCCCTACAGCTATTTTTAGTGTGTTTCTTACTACTTTTGACCCATTTCTGAATTTGTTTATGTGTTAGTCTGAGTTTATAGCACATGTGTATGGGTGCCATTGAGTTCAAAAGACATCAGATCTTCTGGAGCTGCAATTATAGGCAATTGTGAATTGTGCTCCAGAGTTAGAGGCCAACCTGCATAGTCAGCTCCAGACCAGCCAGGGCTACATATATATAGTAAGATACTGTTTCAAAAAAGGAAGTAGAAAGAGGAGAGTTGGAAAAGGTGATTCAAAGGACCCTTATTTGCTTGCCAACACTCACATGTCAGTTTACAACTATCTGTAACTCTAATTCCAGTGGATTCAGTACCATCTTCTGTCCTATGCATGATTCATGCTTGGATATGGTGCACTGATATATATGCAAACAAAACACTCTTCATATAAAATAAAATACGTCAAGAAAAAAAAGACCCAGTTTATAACAAATGGGCATGGTTGTCTTACACAAAACAAGAAAAACTGTAATTGCCAGCTAATTGATTTGTCCCAGGGTCTGTAATAAACTTTTGATCTTGAAGTATATAATATAAATATTAAGTTCTCTTAATACATAAATAATTCGCATATAGGTAGTGTGGGTATCAAGATTTATTGATTCATTACTTATTTAGTATAAATTATATTATAAATAAATAAATAATTGATTATTGCAATAGTGTTATTTATCCTTAGAAAAGGAAAATTATTTTATTAGTCTAATTTTTAGGTAATTCATCTATAAAATCAGTTGTTCCAGGGAGACTCTAGTTAACCTCATTTATATTCAAATTTGGGAATTGTTATTTCAACATTTTAAAAATTTTTTTCATGTTATGTAGGTGCCTTTTACCTTGTATTTGAATATATGGACCATGACTTAATGGGACTACTAGAATCAGGTTTGGTGCACTTTTCTGAGGACCATATCAAGTCATTCATGAAACAGCTAATGGAAGGATTGGATTACTGTCACAAAAAGAATTTCCTCCATCGGGATATTAAATGTTCTAACATTTTGCTGAATAACAGGTAACATAATAAGCAAATGAGGCTAATCACTTGTTCCTTTTCTTTTGGATTTTGGTCTAGATAATTAGGATATAAGCAATGCAATTTTTTTTACTTGTTATACATGTTGAATGTGTTCATTTATTGTTGTCTCCTTTTGACCTCTCTCTTGTATCATCTTTCCTGATGTAATGTTAGAATTAATAAAATAGGATTTCAAATATTCAATTGCCAACATTCTAGAGTATTAATCTACTAGAGAATATACCATATAGTTAAAAATAATGCTGTTATCCAGAGAAAACTTAAATATATATTTGGAAAGAAACATCTCTCCCCTGTCAACTGACTTTATCAGTTACTTCTTTTAGAGGAAGACCTTGCCTCAACACACACACCCCTCCCAACACACACAAATTCTCATATTCTCTCTCTCTCTCTCTCTCTCTCTCTCTCTCTCTCTCTCTCTCACACACACACACACACACACACACACACACACACACACACACACAAACACAAACTCACACTCACAGGTTGGTGGTGGTTATGGTAGGAGGTAGAATAAGCAGCTGTGTGGGATTGCCTGAGATTGCCCAAATTTTAACAGTAAAAGCCTGGTAGTTTACACTCTGCAGCTGAATTAAGGAGTAGAGCTAAGCAATTTAGCTTTTCAATTCAGTAAGAATTTTTAGACAGATGTAACAGGAAGGGGAGCCAGCCTTGCTTGTTGGGTTTCTGTCCTGCCAGGTACCCCCAGCTGTTTAGCCCCAAAGAAAATCGCACATAGGTCTCCATAAATTATAAGCTGATTGGCGCATTAGCTCTAGCCTCTCACTGACTAACTCTCACATCTTGATTAACCCATTTTTCTGATCTATGTTAGCCATGTGGCTCAGTACCTTTTTTCAGTGGGGCAGATCACATTGTGCTGCTTCGGTGGTCTGGGCAGGAGTGGGAGGAATCAGCTTCCTCCTTCCCAGAATTCTCCTGTTCTCATTACATCATTTCTCCTTCCTGTCTGGTTTTCCCAACTATATTTCCTGCCTGGCCAATCAGCGTTTATTTAGAACATGATTGACAGAATACAGACAATTCTCCCGCACCAGACAGAGTCTCAGTATGTACTGCAAGTGGTTTTTAACTATGATTCTCTTTCTCAGCCTCCCAAGTGCTGGGATTAAAGGCATACATCACCATAACAGACCATGTTAGTTTAATTTAGAATCACCTGAAAAGATGCAGCTTTGAGGAATAAATAGAAATTATCAGAAAGATTGACAACGAAGAACCAAAATCTCTGACATTGCTTATACAAAAGCACATGAAAGAGAGCATGGCTGCAATACCAGCACTGTAGAAGCTAAAGAAGGAAGACAGGATTTGAAAGTAGAGTGGGAATAGAGCTCAATTGGTAGCGCCAGTGTACACCACGACCTGGGTTTGATTTGTAGTACCACATAGCAGTTTCATGGCCAGCCTGAAACTGAGACTCTTAACTTCAAATAGAAAAAAAGTAAATGGTGTATTATGTTTAGAAAACTATAAACATAATTATAAACATTATTACTAGAGCATGAAGTAAAGCAATTATGGTGAAAGGTGAATTCAAATTGTTACTAGGAATCAGTTTATGATTATGTATATCCTACTGAAGAGGTTCCTGTTATCTACAGTTTGGAAGGGGGTATTCACGATGTCTTTGTAAAGCAGTACTTTAAATTATACTTTAATGCCTTTATTGTGAGGGAAGCAAGACATATAAAGATTTATTCTTAAACCGGAACTATGTTTACATTCTTATAATTGCAGCTAGTAGGAAAGTTAAAGTGAGAGAATCAGGAGTTTATGCTGTAAGACACCATTTTGAAAAAAGTTTTTTTTTTTTTTTTATCCATTCTCTTCCTGTCTCTGCAACTCAAAATATTCTACTAAGTCTATATCAATTCATAGTTTATCTGTAGTCTCAGCTACTTGGAAGGTTGGAGCAGGAAAATTGTGTATTTGAGTTTGCCTAGTAACTGGTAAGGCTGTCTTGCTGGGCATAGTGGTATATGCCTTTAATCTCAGCACTTGAGTGGAAGAGGCAGATGGATCTCTATGAGTTCAAGACCAGCATGAGCATGATCTGCATAGTTCCAGGACAGCAAAGAGGTACATAGTGAGACCTTGTCTAAAATAAAAAAGATCTGTCTAAAGGTAAGTGTGGTAAACACCTTTAATTCTAGCCTTTGGGAGGCAGGGACAGGTTTTATCTTTAGGAGTTCAAGGCCATCATGGTCTCTGTGGTGAGTTCCAGGCCAGCCAGGGATAAATAGCAAGACTCTCAGTGAAGAAACAATTGGCGACTGGCTCAGCAGTTAAGTGCACTGGTTGCTCTTCCAGAGTACCCTTACCCACATGGCAGTTTACAGCTTTCTGTAACTCCAAGATCTGCCATCCTCATACAGGCAAAACACCAATACATATTAAAGAAAAAGAAAATAAAAATAAAAAAATTATTTAAGAAAGAAAAATACAATTGTTTTGTCCTGGAATTTTCTGTAAACCAGACTGGCCTCAAACTCAAAGGTCTGTGTGCCTCTGCCTACTGAGTGCTAGGATTACAAGTGTGCACCACCACTACCTGGCTGAAAAAAACAATGAGTAAACTAGGATTATAGCTAGCTATAGCTGTGGCTCAGGAGTATAGCCCTAAACTATACAACAAAAGAAAATTTAATGATAGCTGTCAGTTTGAGGCTTTTTGGCACTTAGTATTTTATTTTCTTCTTCCTGAGAGGATATCTCGGAACAAGTAATAATTATAGTTGTTTTATATATTTTTTTTAGTGGGATCCCCTTTGACTAGTCCCTGACTTCCAGAGTCATAGAGATTGAAATTTTATACTAAATTGAAGTCTGTCATGGTTACTAATTGAGATGTGGGAAGCCACAAGCCAACTTGATCCTTCAAGTTTCTAATCCTGCTCACTTTGCTCTGTACTCAGTGGTCTTCATTTTTATTGGGTGCCACAGAAGATAGGGTCTTCTCCATCAGTAGAAGTATTTATTGGTTCTTCAACCATTCCAGGCTTAGCTCTGAGGGTTCTGTGAATGGCTATGTATGTTGGACATATTCCAGTTATTTAGCACAAGCACAAGGTGGTTATCAGGGGTGGGGGGAGAAGAGTATCTTTAAGTCAGGCTTAGTGGCAGAGGTTTATCTACATAATGAGACCCTGTCTAAATAACAAAATTAAATTGAATCCAAGAGAAATGGCCGAAAAGACAGGAATAAGGAAAATAGTGACAGCAATATGGTCATGTTTAAAAAGGGAGTAGTCATAGATATCAGATTACAAATTATAATACTTAAAAAGAAAATTTGCAGGGGCTGGAGAGATGGCTCAGTGGTTAAGAGCATTGCCTGCTCTTCCAAAGGTCCTGAGTTCAATTCCCAGCAACCACATGGTGGCTCACAACCATCTGTAATGAGATCTGGTGCCCTCTTCTGGCCTGCAGGTATACATGCAGACAGAATATTGTATACATAATAAATAAATAAATATTTAAAAAAAAAAGAAAATTTGCAAAGCATAAGGTCAGAGGTGACATTAACACACAGTTAAGGGAAGGAAATATACTGTGATAGACAGTTGAATTTCAGTAAAATAAGGTGCTAAGTACTTGAAGATCATTTCAAAAAACATTTTAAAGTCACAGTCTCAGAAAGGATTTTTTGCTATTTATATGTGGATCTGTTTTCTTTTTGTCACTGGAATATAATAAATAAAATAATAGCAGTTTTTGTTTATGCCGAAATTTGGCAGTACTTCCACAACAAAGTTTCAGGCTAGCTTGAGCCATAAGACCTTATCTTTAAATAAATAATTAATAAATGTGCTGGGAATATAGCATAGTTTTAGAGTTCTTTTTTTTCCTTCCCTCCATTTTATATTTTTTTAAAATATTTATTTATTTATTAAGTATACAATATTCTGTCTGTGTGTATGCCTGCAGGCCAGAAGAGGGCACCAGATCTCATTACAGATGGTTGTGAGTCACCATGTGGTTGCTGGGAATTGAACTCAGGACCTTTGGAAGAGCAGTCAGTGCTCTTAACCGCTGAGCCATCTCTCTAGCCCAGTTTTAGAGTTCTTCTCTATCATATATGAAGTTCTAATTCAGTTCCCAGCATCACAAAAAGAAACAGGGACAGTGAGATGGCACTTGCTGCTAAGCCTGATGAGAGTTCACAGGGTGGAAAAAGTGAACTGACTCCTGACACACACACAACATGGCATACATACAAAAATAAAGACTAATAGCCACCTTTAATACCTGCCTAGAAATAAAGACTAATAATTACCTTTAATTGCACTTGGGAGGCAGAGACAGGTAGATCTCTGAATTTATGGCCAGCCTGGTGTACAGGGCAAGTTCCAGGACAGCTAGCGCAGCACAGAGAAGCCCTGTCTCAGCAACAACAACAAGAAAAAAAGGGGAAAAAAAAAAAAACACAAAAACAAAACCCCAAACCCAATAACCAAACAAGTGAAGAAATACTTTTCTTAGTCCCTACTGTGATTCATGTAGCAAATGCTGGTGATTTCAAAGGATAGCAAAATTTCCATAGATATATTCTTGAAATGTAATTTTTGGTTCTCCTTTGTACCCTGATTTTGATTCCTCTTGGGAACTCAGGATAGCAATAGTCAAGAAATTGAGGTTTTTTTTGTTTGTTTCTTTTTTGCTGTTTTGTTTTGTTTTTCGAGATGGGTTTTCTCTGTGTAGTATTGGAACCTGTTCTGGAACTCATTCTGTAGATCAGGCTGGTCTTGAACTCACAGAGATCCACCTGCCTCTGCCTCCCAAGTGCTAGGATTAAAGACGTGTGCCACCACCACCTGGCTGTCTTTCTTGATTTTTTTTATTTTTATTTTATAATTTATTTATTATGTATACAACTGTTTTGTCTGAAGACCAGAAGAGGGCACCAGATCTGTAACAGATGGTTGTAAGCCACCACGTGGTTGCTGGGAATTGAACTCAGGACCTGTGGAAGAGCAGTCAGTGTTCTTAACCTCTGAGCCATCTCTCCAACCCATTTTTCTTCATAGAGGATAAATATTCTTTTACTTTTTTTCTTTTTAATTTGCTTATGAATTAAACTTTAAAATATATGAGCCAGGTGAAGTTGTTTGTTTTTACAATCCCTACATTTGGGATGCTAAAACTAGAGGATTATCATAAATTCAAGGCAAGACTATATGATGTAGTGAGATCCTGTTTCATATAGTAAAGAAGGAGTATTTTGGGCAAATAGATAAAGGTGTTCAGACTCTTTATGATATTGGTTGATTTTAATGTAAAATTTTGCTGCTATTACTTTTCTTGTTTCAATAGTCTGTCCCTTTGCTCATACTTTTGGGAACCACCTCCTGGGATAACCTCTTTCCTATACCCCCTCTGATTATATATTTATTTATGTACATTCGTGTTTTACTTGTGTGTATGCTTGTGTAAGAGTGTTGGCTCCTCTGAAACTGTAGTCACAGACAGTTTTGAGCCACCATTTGGGTGCTTGTTATTGAACCTGGGTCCTCTGGAAGAGCAGTCAGTGCTCAACTGCAGAGCCATTTTTCTAGCCCGTACTATCTGATTTTTGTCTTACCTGAGCTATCAGGTACCTTGAATGTTCTCTGCCACTCAGCTGTATATCTCCAGTTATTTGTGCTATGAGACAGGATCATACTTTGAGGCCCAGGCTAGCCATGAACCTGAACCCCTTGCCTCTAATGCTAGGATTAGAAGTATGTGCCATCATGCCTACCCTTAACTATCTCTTAGTCTAGAACAGACCATTTCTCCCCACCCCTTTCATTATTACGTTATTACTTTATCAGGTACTAGACACAGATGTCTGCCGTAAAATAATATTTAAAGGTGGCGGTGCACACCTTTAATCTCAGTATAACTAGGTGGCCTCTGTGAGTTCAAGGCTAACATGGTCTATAGAGTGAGATGAGGCCAGACAAGGCTATGTGGAAAACTCTTGTCTAAAAATAATAATAAAGAAACAAAATAAAATAAATTAAAACTGTTGTGGGAGATGCATACCTATAGTTGCAGTTCTTGATGGGGTTGAGATGAGATGATGATGCTTACGTCTAGTAGTTGGACACCATGCTGGGTAACATATGTAGACTCCATGGTAAAAATGAACATGAAAAGATAGAAATCAGATTTAAAAATTCAATAATATATATGTGTGTGTATATATATATTTTATGAGGCATTACAAACTTTGTTAGGAGAGGCTAAAATGGGGAGGGTAACCTTTTAGAAATATTACACATTATTTTTTTTTATAATTCTTTTAGGTTTAATTGGCACTTATGTTTCCAAGTGTAGTTTGAGAGTTGTTTCTTATGAAAATAATTATTTGTTTGTTTGTTTTACAGTGGGCAAATCAAACTAGCAGATTTTGGACTTGCTCGGCTATATAACTCTGAAGAAAGGTAAGGCATTGATTAAAACTCCATATGGGAAGGTTTATTTGTATCTCATAATTTTAGGCCAACTTTGACATGGCAAGAGCACTATCTCAAAAGAAAAAAAAAGTAAGACTGTGTGGGAATTAGAGAAGAATCCTTTTAATTTTTTGATACTCAAATTCTACAAATTATAGTGACTATTAAAACTCATTAAGTATTTGAATGTGTTCCAACCTAAATGTTTTTGTTTATTCGCTTATGTTGCACTCAGTGTGGTAGAACTCACAGAAATACACACCTACCTCTGTCTGCATAGTGGCCTAGTGTTGGAATTAAAGGTGTGAGCCATCATGTCCAGTCTTACTCATTTTTTTTAAAAAAGACTCTTTGTTTTTAATCTTGTATGGGTTGCTTTCACACACTTGACTGAAGTGGTATCAGATCATCTTGAAGTTGGGTTTGTGTTGTGTCATGTGTATTTGTGTCCATTTATGTCTGAGTGTCTTCCACATGTGTGTGGATTGCTGGCATTAAAGGCATGTGAACATCTCATGTACCACCTAGATCTTAGACATTGTTTGCATTCTTCAGTCAGCCCTTCACTGAAATAAGTTAACACAGATTGGACTAGAAGTGCTTTCATCTTTCACTTCTGTACAGCTTCCTTTTGACCTGCTAATTTGCTGTTGGAATTGGTTTAACAATCTCATCTTCAATTGGCAGCTATTTCCATTGGTTTTTAGTTACACATTTTCCATCAAATGCCATTGTACGTTTACAACCTGATGGTTTTATGTTTCAGTCGCCCTTACACAAACAAAGTCATTACTTTGTGGTATCGACCTCCAGAACTGCTACTGGGAGAGGAGAGATACACACCAGCCATTGATGTTTGGAGCTGTGGGTAAGACTCTTTTAGCCTTTTGCTTTGTCTGTAATTCACATAGTATTAATATATACTGTTTCCTGTCTATGTTAGCCCTTTGTCTTTCATCCTAAGTGCATGTACACTTACACACATGCATAAATATAGATAAAAGTAAATTTTTTTTTTTCAAAAAAGGAAACAATTTAGCAACTTGTTTCAGTTGCCCAGTCTTTCCTGAATCTGGTAATACTTCTGTCTTAGCCTCCAGATAGCGTGTATCACTATGCCCAGCTTATCTCAAGTCTCATCATTGTCATTTGTTTATTTAACAGTCTCTATAGAGAACTAGATCATTTATTCTATAGACTTCTCACAGGCTGGGTATCTGTTGTTGTCACTGTCATTTTTTAAAAAAAAGAAAAAGAAAATGCCAGGAATGGAATGTAGCTCAATGACTTGCCTGCCTAGTATGTGAAATCCTGGGTTTAATATTCAGTACTACAAAAGGCTAGTCATGTCATTTTGCTTACCAATTTTCAAAATAGTGAGGTGGTTTTTCTACTCATGCAAAATGACTTGTTTTATTGGTTTTCTTATTTATTATGTTCATTAGGAACTGATAGACTTACATATTTGATGTAACAACTGTACTCTTTAAAAATACATAATTATTTGTGAAAGTATGTGAGAGGGAAAGAGAAAAGAGGAGAATAGAAGAGAGCAAGAATGAGCATATACCATGCTTCTGGGAGTGCCCATTTAATCCCAAAAAGGGTATCAGATCCCTTAGGGCTAGACAGGAAGTTGTGAGCTGATTGATAAGGTGCTAGGAACCAAACTCTGGTTCTCTTCAGGACAAGAAAGTGCTCTTGATATTCTAGCCATTTATCCAGTTTTTATTGTACTAATTCTTTTTCAGACTTTCTAATTTTTGTCTAGTCTAAATTTGATCAGGTTAGTTGTTGAATACTCTTGATTCATTGTTAATAATCTTTAATAGTCTTCCTCGTTTTCATGTTCCAGCCTTCTATCTGCTGTCAGCCATTTCTCTCAAGAAGTGTTCCTTTTTGATCTGTTTATTCCCACCCCCTTCTCTTCCTTCCTTTTCATTTTCTACTCAGGGTATCTCTAGCCCTGGCTATGTTGATTTATACTATAGACCAGTCTGACTTCATATTTGTGGCAGTCTTCCTGCCTCTTCCTCCTAATTACTGCGTTTGTAAGTGTGTACCAATATAGCTACTCTGAATTTTTTTTTTTTTTTTTTTTCCTTTTAGCTCAGGGTACCATCAAGCTCTTTGTATAGCCCAAGAAATCCTTCAACTCCTAATTTATCTGCATCTAACTGCCAGGTATTGGGATTGCAGATTTGTATACCATTCCTGGCTTGAAAATGAAATTAGAAGCTACATCTATGTTAAAGATCAAAGTGCTTTTATTTTTATTTATTCTTTTGAGACAGGGTCTTGTTATATAGCCCCGGCAGGCTGGGAAGTTGATATATAGTCCAGGCTGACCTGGAGCTCAGCCACCCTGTCCCTTCAAGTGCTTAAGCATGTACCACCATGCAAGGGGCCTAAATATTCTAAATGGCCGACATTTGTTATTAGTAGGTGGTGTGTCACACTGCTGATACCTTTCATTGGTTATGATTCCCACATCCATACTTTGTAAAATAGTGTGTCATCTTTCCCATTTTTCTCCCTTCCTTTGCTATAAGTCTTTAAGGGAGTGCTATAGTTTTTATTTTTATAATTCAACAAGATGGTAGCCTATCTAAATCAAATGATGCTTTAATTAAGTTTAAATGACTGAAATTGGGTATATTTATATTCAAAAACCCATTTTATTATAGCTAAGCTGGAAAGTTAACAACCTATTAAGATGAAGGAGGAAGAACTAGAGGCGTGGAAATTAGGTTCAGAGACATCCTTAAGGCTACACGAGAGACTCTTATCTCAAAAAAAAAAAAAAAGATCTGCCTGCCTCTGGGAGTGCAGGGATTAAAGGTGTGTGTGCCATCGCCGCCCTGCGGGTTTTTTTTTTGTTTTGTATTGTTTTTTCAGCCTGTACATTCTGCTAGCTTACTGTGATGACTAAAATGTTGATTACATGATGTAGTTTTTCACACCACTGGAAACTGAAATCAAAGAAAACTCTGAAGCAGAGACAGTATGGTGGCACACGGCTGTCATTTTAGCACTTCTATGTACAAATCTGGGCAGAAAGTATAAAGAGTAGTTTAGTTATATATGAAGCAGTTGACAAATGGAGTCAGGAAGATCAGGAATTCAAGACCTAGCTGGATGACCATGGCAGTGTAGACCTTTAATCCCAGAACCCAGAAGGCAGACACAGGTAGATCTCCGAGTTCATTAGGCCAATCTAGTCTACAGAATGGGTCTAGGACAGCCAGAGCTGCATAGAAAAACCCTGTGTGGACCCCCTCACCCCCCCAAAAAATTACAAGGTCTTCGCAGGTTTCTCAATAAGTTTGAGAACACTGTCTCCAAAATAAATAAAGCTATCTATTCCTTTGTGATTTTCTTTTTTGATGCTTTCCTATTTTACTAGTTGATTTAAAACTGTGCTTAAAAGTTACTTTGACAGTTAATAATGAAAACAAACCTTAATTTTGCTTTTTCTACCTCTGACTAAACTTTGAAAGAATTAGTTACCCACTAATCAAATTAAGGAAGACACTAAAAAAGTTAATAAAGCAAATTGTAGGTGACGTAAAATTTTGTTTTAGTACATTTTTAGGCTAATAGAATGAGGCATAGTGAGTGGTACAGGCCTTTAATCCCAGTTCTTCAAAGTCAGAGGCAAGTGAATCCATCTCTCTGATGGACGCCAGATTGATCTACAAAGCAAGTTCTAAGCTAGCCAGGTATAAGTAGTGAAACCCTTTCTCAAAGAAAAGACAAAAGAATCAGACGAGGAGGGCTGGAGAGATGGCTCAGTGGTTAAGAGCATTGCCTGCTCTTCCAAAGGTCCTGAGTTCAATTCCCAGCAACCACATGGTGGCTCACAACCATCTGTAATGAGGTCTGGTGCCCTCTTCTGGCCTTCAGGCATACACACAGAAAGAATATCGTATACATAATAAATAAATAAATATTTAAAAAAAAAGAATCAGACGAGGAGAAAAAGGAAGAAGGCGATAAAGGAAGAAGGCGATAAAAATACTGGTAGAGGGGCTGGAGCCAGTAAAGTTGGCTCAGTGATTAATACCACTTGATGCCCTTGCTGAGGAACCGGGGTTTGGTCCCACCATCTATAACTCCAGTTCCAGGGGATTTTGATATCTTTGATCTCCAGGGGATGTGCATAAACATGTTCATACCCCCATCCCAACACACATAATACATATAATTTAAAATTCTTGGGGGGTAGAAGATTGCTCAGCAGTTGAGAGCACTTGCTGCTCTTCTTGTGGATGACCATGGATCAATTTCTAGTATACAGAACAGGCAATATTTGTAATTCTAGCTCAAGGGGATAAAATACTTTTAGCCTCCAAGAAACCCACATATAAATAATAAAAAAAAATAAGCCAGACAGTAGTTGTGCACACAATCCCAGCACTTGGGAGGCGGAGACAGGTGGATCTCCATGAGTTCAAGGCCAGCCTGATCTCCATAGTGATTTCCAGGACAGGCTCCAAAGCTACAGAGAAACACTGTCTTGGAAAAACAAAATAAAACAAAAAAAAACAAAGCTGGGTAGTGGTATCACACGCCTTTAATCCCAGCACTGAGGGGTGCAGATGGATTTCTGTGAGTTCAAGACCATCCTGATCTACAAGAGCTAGTTCCAGGACAGGCTTGATAGCTACAGTGAAAACCTGTCTCAAAAAAAAAAACAAACAAAAACATTTTTAAAGTGGGGTGTGAATATGATCAAAATACATTATATAGAATTCTAAAAGAATTAAGGAAACATTTTATTTAAATAAAAGTGTATACAGAGTCCACGGTGGTGGTAAGGCCTGAAATCCTGACATTTTGGAGGTGGTGGTTGAAGAATTGGGAGTTCAGGCCAGCCTAGACTACATGAGAATATGTCCCTAAAACCCAACAAAAAGTACATTAAAATAATTAGCACCACAATATTGGCATTTTTTAATTTTTTGTTTTTTAAATGTTTTGGAGACCAGATCTTTTTATGTATCCCTTGACTGTCCTGGAACTCATTATGAAGACTGCTAGGCTGGCATCCAACCCAGATCCAATATTCTTCCTCCCAAGTGTTGTGATTGAAGGGGTGCATCACAACCTTCAGCGTATTTTTATTTAGGTATAGGTAAATGTCTGTATCTGGGTATATGTTCACCAATTTAGTGCCCATTGAGGCCAGAGGCTTCAGATCCCCTAGAGTTGAAGCTACAGGTTGTTTCAGACAGAGTATGGAGTATTCGTATTTTTTCCCCTTTACATTTATCTGAAATACTTTCAAGAAATATCATCATATATAACCATAATATAATTATGAAAATCAAGAAATTTAAAATACTTGGGCAGTATAGTGCAAACCTATAATTTTGAACCCCATCATGGAGGCAGGAAGATCCCAATTTTGAGGTCAACCTGAGAGCTAATTAGGAAAGGAAGTTTAGTATTGTATAGGATAAATATATAGTCCTTATTTCAGTTTTATCCTTATACTAATAATGTCCTAGAGATAACTCTTTGTTTACTTCAGGATCGAATTAGTCTGTTTTTTATTTTTTAAAACCATTTCTCTGCTGTTGAATATCCTAGTTTCTAACTTGTAGGTTCATGCGATCTTTCCACCAAAGTTTTTATATTGAGTTTTATTTTATTGTGTGTGCAAATATTTTGTTTACGTGTATGTATTTATGTTTTCCATTATATGTCTGGCATATACAGAGCTCAGAAGAAGGTATTAGATTCCCTGGGAATGGAATTACAGTTTGTTGTGAGCCACCATGTAGTTGCTGGGAATTAAACCCAGGTCCTCTTCAAAAACAAGTGATCTTAGTCACTGAGATACCTCTTTAACCCTGATGTTTCTTTTTTCTAATGTTTTATTTATATTTGGTTACATGTGTGATGTGTATGCATGTGAAAATGTATGTTTCCCTTTTGTTATTTGCTGCTGGCCCAACTTCGAAGGATTCTCCTGCCTTTGGCTCCCATCTTGCTATAGGATCATTGGGATTATAGGCACACCGCCACACTCAGCTTTATGTGCCTTCTGTAGATTCAGACACAGGTGTCAATCTTTGCTTGACCCACTGAACCATCTCTCTGGCTCTGAGTGTCCATTTCAAAATAACAAAGGTATTTAGATAAAAATCATTTAAAAGCCTTGATGGAAATGATTTTAGCTGATAATAAATTGGTTTCTTTGTAATTGTATTGCCAGAGAGGTTATCATAGTATTGCATAGTTCTACAAAGAAAGTTAATGATGAAAAGTTAATAATCTCTTTATAGAAACAGCTAACCATCCTTGTAAAATTGTCTGTAATTCCTTAGATTATCATGGTTATTGAGACATAATTTAGATAGGTTCAAAGGATTTCTTTCTAACCTTTAAATTTTATTCTTTTTAGATGTATCCTTGGGGAACTGTTCACAAAGAAACCTATTTTTCAAGCTAATTTGGAACTGGCTCAGCTAGAACTGATCAGGTACTGTTAGACGTATGCCCTTAAGTGCCTGCTTCTTAAACTTCTTTCACTCTTAGCCTATTTTCATCTGAGAAGATTTTTACATAACCCCAGGTAGTAGAAGTATTTAATGTTTACTAGATGATAAATTTTAAATTTAAAGTAATCTTTGGCATAAACTTATAATTTATTAAAGATAAAATTAAACTTGTATAGTAATAAAATACATATGCTTGTTTATTTTATAGTTGAATTTATTTTAATTTTTTTTTGTTTGTTTTTTGTTTTTCGAGACAGGGTTTCTCTGTGGCTTTGGAGCCTGTCCTGGAACTAACTCTGTAGACCAGGCTGGTCTCGAACTCACAGAGATCCGCCTACCTCTGCCTCCCAAGTGCTGGGATTAAAGGCGTGCGCCACCATCGCCCGGCTTTTAATTTTTAATTTATGTGTGGGCATGTGCATATGGATGTCAGCCTTATACTCTTATAACTTTTCAATACATGGACCTCATGGTTGCATAGAACCAATATACTACTACTTGTCCAATAACTTCCACAAACACTCATGTACAACACACGCAAAGAAATAAGTAAGTAGAAAAAAAAAGACTATTTTTAGATACCAGGTGGGACTGGAAAGATGGCTCAGCAGATATGATCACTGACTGCTCATCCAAAGGACCTGAGTTCAGTCCCTAGCATCCAAATAGCAGCTTAAAACTTTCTTTGGCTCCAGTTGCAGGAAATGTGACACCCTCTCACAGATATACATGCAGGCAAAACCTCAGTGCACATAAAATAAAAGTAAATGTTAGAAAAAGTACACCAGGCATAGTGGTACTTGTCTTTAATTCCAGCACTTGAGAAGCTAGAGGCAGACCTGGTCGACATAGTGAGTTCTAGACAAGTCACCACTACATAGTGATACCTTGTTTCAACATAAATAATGTAAATAAAAGAAATCGCTGAAAAATTATTTATTTTTTTAATGAAGCTCCAGTGATTAACTCAAATAGTTTCTAATATCAAAATATTCTAACATAATATAATCTAAACATAGACTAATTTGATAGTTACATCCTTAAGAATGGTTGTAGGGATTTGTTTTTAATATTTATTTTTACTTTATGTACATTGTTGTTTTTGCCTGTATTGTATGTCTGTTCGAGGGTGTCAGATATTGGAGTTACAGACAGTTGTTAACCCCTGAGCCATCTCTCCAGCCTGTAGTAATTTATTAAAAGCTTTTCTTATTTTGGGGGAGGGGCAGGGTAGTATTCCTAGCTGTACACCGAGATCCTCCTGCCTTTTGAGTGCTGGGATTAAAGGTTTGTACCACCATGCCTGGCTAAAGCTTTTGTTTTCCTTCCTTTCTTTCCATGTTTGTTTTTTCAAGGCAGGGTTTCTCAGTACCCCTGGCTGACCTTAAACTCCAGAATCTCGACTAACCGTGCCTTCAGAGTGCTGGGATTAAAGACATGCACAATCACACCCAACTAGTTTCTAAAAGAACCAGAAGCTAAACATATAGTAAGACACTGCAGTTTACAATATGATAGTCTCAAATCTGAGCTGAATTATTTTAGACAGTGTTCATTAGCATTTTGTGGGATTATACCACTCACATTGCAAGTTGTATGTTCAGAATCAAGATTCAATGAAGGCATACAACACAACACTGGGGAATGCTGTCAGAAACATCTCAGATTTAGCACACATTTGATTTCTAGTTAGCTTTTTGGTTGTTTTATGTATTACTGTTGCCAAATTTGTCATGATCCAGTTATGCAACCCTTTGTCATAACCCACACTTTTAAAAGTAGATAATGATTAGATAATCAAATCTCCAATTTATATAACATTTTTCAATTATTCCATCAGATGATATTGTAATAAATTTCTCTTTGCTCATCCAGCTTGCCATCTCTTTTGTGTCAGCCTGTAGACATAGAAATTCAGTTTTAGGGGAATGGAGAGATGGCTCAGCGGTTAGTGTAGTTCATAATCATCCATATGTTTTTGTTTTTCAAGATCAGGTTTCTATGAGTATCCTTGGCTGTCTTTGAACTGACTGTAGAGCAGGCTGGTTTGGACTCATAGAGACCTACCTACCTTTGCCTCCCCACTGCTGGTATTAAAGGTGTGTGCCACCATGTGTTTTGAGTGTTTACTTGATATATGTAATTGCACCACATGCATGCTTGGTGTCATTGGAAGCCAAATGAAGGCATTGGATCCTGTAAAACTGGAGTTATTAGAGGCTGTCAGCTGCCATGTGGGTGCTGGAAACTGAACCTGTATCCTCCTTAAAGTGCTTTTAACCTCTGAACTTCTTCTCCGACTCTATAATGTCAAAGTCTTACCTTTATGTTTTTATTCTTGGTCATATACAAATATGCTTTATTTGAGAACAGTGTTGCTTTTAATACTAGCTGTGTAGAAGGCCAGGGCAGTACGAATTACTCAAGTTTGAGTTCAAGGCCAGCTTGAACAAAGTGAATTCCCCCATCTCAAAAATAGAAATAGAAAAAACTGGCAAGATGGCTCAATGAGTAAAGGTACTTGTTCCAAGATTGATGACCTGAGTTCAGTCACTAATACTCATGATAGAAGGAGGCACTCCCAAAAGTGTCCACTGACTTTTACAAATGTAAAAATACAATTGTTAAAAAAAGTATTTTTTGGACCAATCTCCTTGAAAAAAGATCTATGAAGCTTCAGCTCCTCATATGATGCCTTGTGGTTGATGGTGGTGTCAGTGTTTGTAAAGCCAAATGTGCAATGGGCTAGTGAGCTCGCTTCTTGGGTGCACAGGTGCTTACCATTGTGTTTGACAACAAAATTCCATCTGCAGGACCCACGTGGTAAAAAGAGAGAACTGACTCCTGAAAGTTATTTTCTGATCTCTACTAGTGTGGTGTGGCATATGCACCACTTCCCACAAAAACGCATAAACATAAATGTCATTGAAATCATTAAAACAATAAAAAGTAAAATGGGAGCTGGGTAGATGGTTCAGTGGTAAAATATTTGCTGTGCAGTTTAGGATAAGCTGGATTTGATCCCCAGAACCTATATATAAAAAGCTAGGTGTCTTATTGCATGCTTGTGGCATCAGTTCTAGTGAGGCAGCAATAGGCGATCTTGACACTCACTGACCAGAGCCAATTTATCCCCTTCAGCAAAGAAAGGGCCACAAGAGAAAACTTGTCTCAAAAACAAGATGAATAATGTTTAGGGAACAGCTTCTGAAGTTTATCTCCATATACACATACATACCCATAAATAAAGAATGCTGTTTTTTTCTTTTGTTTTTGTGTGGATGGCTACTTTATTCTTAGCTTTAGCTCAGTCCAAGGAAAGAAGTGTTGCTGGCCATGGTGGTGCACACATTTGGTCGCAGCATTTGGGAGACAGAGGCAGGCAGATCTGTATTTCAGGACAGCATGGTTTACAGAGTGAGTTCCAGGACAGTCAGAGCTACAGAGAGAAACCCTGTCGTGAAAAACAACCAAAAGAGCGTAATTCTTTGTGGAATACATGTTTTCTTTCTCCTTTGACCATGTAGGTCGTTTGCTGAGGATTGAACTCAAATCAGGCTTGGCAGGAGGAGTTTTCTCACTGAGCTGTTTCTCTAGCCACAGTTTTAAAATGTAACCTCTACATAGACAATTTGAGGATGCCTTGAAGAATGGAATTTGGGCACCTCTTGCTATACTTTGCTTTTTTCATTTTTCCTTTTCTCTGTTCCTTTCCCTTTTTCTTTTGGATTATATTTGTTTGATTTTTCATTTTAAAGCAGAGTCTCTCTTTATAGGCCATACTGGCCACAAATTTACAATCCTTTAACCTCAGCCTCCTAAGTGCTGGGATTATAGGCATGTATGACATTTCCTTTTTCTTATTCAATAAAATGTATTGGAAAAATATAACAAGCAAATGTAGATATAAACAGTGATATATAACTCATTATTATAATAATAAATGCTCAGTTATCAATAAACATTTCTTTCTTTTAAAAAAAGGAACAAAGTCTAGGCAGTGGTCGTGCATGTCTTTAATCTCAGCACTTGGGAGGCAGAGGCAGGTGGATCTCTGTAAGTTTGAGGCCAGCCTGGTCTGCAGAGCAAGTTCCAGGACAGCCAGGACTGTTATATAGAGAAACCTTGTCTCAGAAAAACAAAACAACCCCCCCCCCAAAAAAAAAAAAGAGAGAGGAAAGAAAAAGGAAGCAAAACAGGTTCTCTGTAGCCCAGGCTGTCCAGGAACTAGCTCTATAAACAAGAATAGATTCAGCTGCCTCTAACTCCAAAGTGCTGGGATTAAAAGGTGTGCACCATCTCTTAAAATTTTTCCTATTTGAAATTAATTCTGTCAGATGTGGGGTGGCCTCTGGAAGAAGAAACAGATTCTTGAACTCTGTCTATGTAATATGTCCAAGGCTCTCCTGGTCTATGTAATATGTCCTGGAAAGCCGGGCCCACATAATAGAGAGACCTGGCCTATTCCAAGAGAGGCGGGGAAAGAGGGGAGAGAGGAGAGGAAATTAATTCTAAATGAATAAGATAAAATTGATATCTACTAATGTAATAAGTCATAGATTTCCCAGATCCAAGAGGATAATTTCTCCTTCGAGAAACTCTAGAAGTCATGATACTGATGATTTACTTCATTTTACGTGGCTTTTTGCTTTCTTTTCAGTCGTCTCTGTGGTAGCCCTTGTCCAGCAGTGTGGCCTGATGTTATCAAGCTGCCCTACTTCAACACCATGAAACCGAAGAAGCAATATAGGAGACGTCTAAGAGAAGAATTCTCTTTGTGAGTTTAGCACAATCTTATATCTCTTATTTGTTTTCAGCTTTTGTTGGGACTTGATTTTTACTGTTAAGCCCAATTTATTACAGCAACATTTTAATTACATTTTATTTTTAAAAGATTTTTTTTTATTTTGACCTGGTCAGTAGTGGTGCATATTTTTTATCCCAGCACTTGGGAGGCAGAGGCAGGCCAATCTCTGTGAGTTTGAGCCCAGCCTAGCCTACAAGAGCTAGTTCCAGGACAGCTAGGACAGTCAGAGCTACAAACAAAAGACTTATTTATTTTATGTGCATTGGTGTTTCACCTGTGCAAGGGTGTTGGATCATCTGGAACTGGAGTTACAATGTGAACTGCCATGTGGTTGCTAGGAATTGAGCCCAGGTCCTCTTGAAAAGCAGCCAGTGCCCATAATCACTGAGCCATTCCTGCAGCCCGTTGATTGCATTTTTGTTGTTGTTGTTGGTTTTTTGTTTGTTTGTTTGTTTTTTGTTTTTCAAGGCACAGTTTCTCTGTAGCTTTGGAGCCTGTCCTGGAACTCGCTCTATAGACCAGGATGGCCTAGAACTCACAGAGACCTGCCTGCCTCTGCCGCCCAAGTCCTGTGATAAAAGGCGTGCGCCACCACCACCATCCAGCTCTTTGCCCATGTGGGTCCCGAGGATATAATACTGACTTGGGAGCAGAAACCTTTACCAGATGAGCTGCCTCAACTAGCCCATTGTAGGCATTTTATTTTATTCTTTTATTTTATATATGTGCATGTTTTGCCTACATGCATGTATGTATACCATGTTTGTGTCTGGTGCCTGCAGAAGGTGGAAGAGGATATTGAATGTCATGGAATTAAAGTTTGAAAGAGTGCAAGCTGCCATGTCTGTACTGGAAATTGAACCTGAGTCCTCTGTAAGAGTGCCTAGTGCTCTTAACCTCTGAGCCATCTCTCCAGCCTTAGACATTTTATTTTTGAAGAGTTTTTTCTATCAGACTCTATTTCTAATTTTCTCTTCTGAAGGCCTTGGACAAATGAAAATCATTTTATTTTCAACAACTTGTGGATTTCCTTATAGTCCTTATAGTCCTTTTGATCTTCCTAAGGAAAGAGAACAGAATTGTTGCTTTTTAAGTTTTTACGTGCATTGTAGCATTTCTTAAATCAAGGCTCAGATCTTGTTGCTTGCATTAGCCAGTTTCCAGTTTCCTTGCTCAGTTTTACTTGGAAATGGAAATTCATATAATTTTTGATACAGGTTTGTAGGTTTGAGAACTAAGGGAATGTTGTGAATTTTTGATTTCTCTGTTCCATTCTATAGCATTCCTTCAGCAGCTCTTGATTTATTGGACCACATGCTGACACTTGATCCTAGCAAGCGTTGCACAGCTGAACAGACCCTACAGAGTGATTTCCTTAAAGATGTAGAACTCAGCAAAATGGCACCTCCAGAGTAAGTATTGTTGACTGTATAATGATTCTAAATTTCCTCCTTGACTCAGAAAATGAGAAACTTAAAAGATTTAAAATCAAAATAACTACAAATGATTATGTCAGTGCTGATGGAGTGTTAACTGTGGATAAGGTTGGATTAAGTAAGGAATAAATTTAACCATATTTGTTTAGACTGGTTCAAGTTATTTTCTTTTGTTTCTAGATCTCTATTGTTTGTGATAAACAATGTCTTTGAAATTATTCCTTGTAGGTTTTGCTCTTAACCATTCCTTCTGTTTTAATCATTTATGTTGCGACTATGTATGTTCTACACTGCAAGAACAGTTCTAATTTTAAATAGTTTGTATCATTGTCAGGTTAGTAATTTTACTTACTTTTTAGACCAGGTTGTTCTTGAGCTCATACAGATCTGCCTGCCTTTCCCTCCTTGAATTTTTATGTAAATATATCGTCTTAATGTATCTCTTTCATCATAATTTATTTTTTACTTTCCTCGTTTGTGTGTGTGTGAGCACGTGTACATATATATAAGCCACAGTGTGTATATGTGTGTGTGTGTGTGTGTGTGTGTGTGTGAGAGAGAGAGAGAGAGAGAGAGAGAGAGAGAGAGAGAGAGAGAGAGAGAGCGCGCGCACGTGCATTTATATAAGCCACAGCCATTGTATAGAGAGGTCAGAGGACAACTTGAGAGTCAGTGCTTGGATTCTGCTGCTAGGGCCTTTGCTACCTTGACCATCTCTAGGGCCCTCTTTCATGACAATTTTATGAATAGAATGTACATTAGAGGATCTTCCAAGGTTCTATACCCACATTCAACTTCATGGCACATACAAGATCCTTTGTCTTTGAACTTATCACTGGCAGTATTAATAGCTTTTGTGTTAGATTTATTTTTGTTTCTTTGGGTTTTTTTTTTTTGGTTTGTTTTTTTGTTTTGTTTTTGTTTATGCCAGTACTATGATCCTTGTACGTGTTAGTCAAATCAATATTTTACCACTAAGCTGTGTTCCCAAGCAGCCTCTTGTTTTTGCTGGGTTTTTGTTTTGGTTTGGTTTGGTTTGGTTTGGTTGTTGTTGTTTTTGTATGCTTGTTTTTTTACTCGTTTTGCTATTTTTTTATGCATTTATGTAAATGGTTGCCTGTGGGGGCCAGAAGATGGTGTCAGAGTCCCTGCAACTTTCACCTGCCGGACATGGGAACTCAAGTTATGGGCAAGAACAGCCCAAGCTCTTATCTACTGAACAATTTCTCCAGTTCTTTAGTGTGTTTGTTTGGGCAATTTTTTTCTTGTTGTTTGAGTTGTGGGATGGTCTCACTGTGTTGAACTTAGAGTCCTCTTGCATCATTAATTTTCTTGCCAGACAAAGGAATGGCCAGATATGGGGGTAAACACTTTTAATTGTAGCTCAATCAAGAGTTCGAGGTTAGCCTGATATCTTCCAAAGAAACAGAAAAGAAAAGGATTTAGATAAGTACATATATAGATGGTAACTATAAATTTTATTGCTCCAAAGATCTAGCCAAATTTATTTTGATAGATTTGATATATTTTTTTTGGTGTTTAAGCTTTTTACTGAAATTTGGAAGCTAGTATATAGTTTTGTTTGCTTGTTTTTTTTTTTTTTTTTGAATCACAGGGTAACCATGGGTGACCTGGAACTCACTAAGTAGACCAGGATAGCCTGAAACTAACAGGATCCCACCTAACTCCTTAAGAAAGTTGATGATATCCAATCGTGGAAATTCAGTGAATGATTTGCAAACTGATGATTAAATCATGATATGTTTATATAGTCCCAAGATTCAAAGCACTATCTCTTCTCTTTTCACACTGTGTGTATGTTCATGCTCTTGCCAGGCCACATGTGAAAGGTCAGGGCCAGTTGTGGGAGTTGGATTCTATTTTTCTATCATGTAAATTCCAAAATTATACTCAGGATTTTAATGCTAGGTGGCAAGTTCATTTACCTACTGAGACATCTCTCAACCCTTTCCTAGTCTTTCATAGCTATTAATAAACTGTTCATTTCTGCACTTACATTTATCTTCAACTGAAACACAGCCAGTTAAGTTCTCTTTATTCATTTTATACCAACAAAAACATTATTTGACTATATAGGAGTTTTTAGTATTATTTCTTACCACATAAATACTTCCACAAACTTCCACCTCCAATAATTCTTTTTATATTGCGTTTTGATGTTTTTGTTCTTAATTCTATTTTTCATGTTCCTTTCTCTTCTATTTTAATTCATTATTCTTACATTTAATCATTACTTATTCCTCCTTTGTTTTGTGTTTTTCCAGCCTACCTCACTGGCAGGATTGCCATGAATTGTGGAGTAAGAAACGTCGACGCCAGCGACAAAGTGGTATTGTAATAGAAGAGCCACCTCCGCCCAAAGCTTCTCGAAAAGAAACTACCTCAGGGACAACAGTTGAGCCTGTGAAGAACAGTAGCCCAGCACCACCTCAGCCTGCTCCTGTCAAGGCAGAGCCTGCTCCTGGGGATGCAGTAGGTCAGTGCTAGGATGGAGCCTCTACGTCTATTAAGTTCAGTTATATAGATTTTGATAGTAGAATGCATATATGTTCATATCCTTGTGTTTTTGTTCAGTGGAATATTAGGAGAAAGATTGTTGTCTTCATTTCCGAGGAGAAGATAAACCTTATTTTCTGCGCATGATTCAGAAAGTTTACAGCAGAGTATTCTCATTCCTTGAAAAAAGGAATGTTGTATTTCTCCTAGATTGTGTGTGGCAGAAACCAGTCAATTAAATAAGTAAATTTTAAGGTTAGTTTGCTCGTGGCTTTTTTTTTTTTTTTTTTCTTTTTTTGAGACAGGGTTTCTCTAGCTTTGGAGCCTGTCCTGGAACTAGCTCTTCTAGACCAGGCTGGTCTCGAACTCACAGAGATCCACCTGCCTCTGCCTCCCAAGTGCTGGGATTAAAGGTGTGTGCCACCACCGCCCGGCCATTTTCTCTTCTATATTGACCCAGTGACTTTGAAATTAGGAATTTACTGCCTCAGACGCCATTAGCTGAGATTACAATGCTATTTTCAACATTCGGTACTCATTAGAATCATCCAGAAAACTTTAAAAATAAATACCCTCAGATTGGTGTGGTGGCAAACAACTGCAACCCAGCACTGGGGAGGTAGAGTCAGGAGGATCAGAAGAAAGTCAAGGTTATCTTTCACTACATTTGATCTTTGAGTCCAGCCCCGAGTACCAGAGATAAATAACTCTTTAATAAATGTCAAATCTCTTGGAATGTTAGGCACCTCAGTTCTTCAATCTATCCTCAAAGTTTTTACATATACTATTGATTGAAAATCACTGACCTTGAAGAACACAGATAAAATACAATCACTTTTATATATAATTCATACATGCTTTAGTTAGTCTTTGTATTTTTTTAAATATTTATTTATTTATTATGTATACAATATTCTTTCTACATGTATGCCTGCAGGCCAGAAGAGGGCACCAGACCTCATTACAGATGGTTGTGAGCCACCATGTGGTTGCCGGGAATTGAACTCAGGACCTTTGGAAGAGCAGGCAATGCTCTTAACTGCTGAGCCATTTCTCCAGCCCCCTCTTTGTATTTTTTTTTTTTTTTTACTTATTGTTTTAGTTTTTATTTTGTTGGAGATTGCACATAATATATTAGGATTCAGAGGACAACTTGTGGGAATTGCTCTACTATATGGGTCCTGGGCTTTATACAGTTGCCATACTAGGTGGCAAGTGCCTTTTACCTACTGCATCATCTCACCAGTCTTAAGTCCTTGAATTTTTAAACAAAAATAAAAAATAAGCTGTGATGTTAATCCAAGATATTAAACTATGAGGCTTTTAAAATGAAGCTACATCTTTGGATATTATGCATTGCTTTTGCCAGTTGAAGAAGACAAAGGATCTTTTCTTTCTTATCCATCTTATATTGGCTCCACTGTCATCCTACAGGTCTTGGTGACATCACACAGCAGCTGAATCAAAGTGAATTGGCAGTCTTATTAAACCTGCTACAGAGCCAAACTGACCTGAGCATCCCTCAAATGGCACAGCTGCTTAATATCCACTCCAACCCAGAGATGCAACAGCAGCTGGAAGCCTTGAATCAATCTATTAATGCACTGACTGAAGCCAGTTCCCAGCAGCAGGACTCAGAATCCATAGCCCCAGAAGAATCATTGAAGGAGGTACCCTCTGTATCAGTGGTCATGCCTTCAGCAGAACAGACAACTCCTGAAGCCTCAAATACACCAGCTGACATGCAGAATATGTTGGCAGTTCTCTTGAGTCAGCTGATGAAAACCCAAGAGCCAGCAGGTGACCTGGAGGAAAACACCAGTGACAAGAATAGTGGGCCACAGGGACCCCGAAGAACTCCTACAATGCCACAGGAGGAGGCAGCAGGTAAACAGACCGGTCATGAATCTCATTGAGCTCAGGTGCTGTTGATCCTCTTAAAAAAATCTCTTAATGTTTTCTTTTTTACATCATTGGTCTCAGTTTCTGTAATCTAGTCTACAGGAGAACATAGCACCAAATGATGTATTTCTTGGCCAGCTTTTTCTTTTGAATATCAAAGCACCTTTCATATACTGATAATTTTTCCACTTAAGAAGGTACTGGTAAGTAAAATCCCTGTGTTCTAACCAAGGAAATCAAAGCCATAGGTAGTGCGGTATCTTGAACCCCACTTCGTATGTGGTAGCTAGCTAGTCCTAGTAAATCTGACTTTTAAATAAACATCAAATTGTTCTTTACATCTAATGCAGTGAATCCTGGATACCAGAATTTTATCTGGAAGATAACAGTCAAGAAAGCCCTAATAAAATATTTCAGTTTCTGAAAATAATTGGGGAATTGTTCTAAGCAGATAACACCTTACATTTTCTTTCCAAAAAGTAATTGCATACAAAGTGATTATTTTTAAGTCTGTGTTTCTGAAAGGAACAGTGAAATCAGGAAGTAAGCATTATGAAAAGAAAAAAAAAATCTGAAAGGGGATAAAAGTGTGTTATACCTTGTGTCACATTACCACATCCATGCAGTTTATTAGAAGGAAAAGTATTGTAAATTATCTAGTCAATTCTGATTCACAATCTGTTTACAAATTCCATCTGAAAATGTTTTCAACTCCTTGGAAATTTTCATTGACCTTGAAGATTCCATGAATTGGGGAAAATGAAGAGGCACAGAGACTGAAGAGGTATAATGAACTTTAGGGTCCCGCATTTATATTTCATCTTGGTTGGTTCAGAAAATATATATTTTTTTCACTAGTATAAGGTCAAATATATAACCTGGTTTCTTTCTTTTTTTTTTGTATGTGGAAATTATTAAAACTGAAAGATAATAAAATTAACCTTTTGTTTTATGAATAGGAAAACTGCATCCTAAGAAACTTTAAGTAAGTCTCTGCTCTGCTGATTATTGGCAGATGAAGCTAGAACTTGTACACTCACATGTCCTGATTCACTTTGCTGTTCTCTATGATGATTCCAATTGTTTTTAAAGAGTAGTAGAGAAGGCTATATAGTGGGACTGGAGAGGTGGCTTAGAGGTTAAGAGCACTGGCTGCTCTTGCAGAGGACCTGGGTTCAATTCCCAGCACGCATTCAGTGACTCGCAGCTGCCTGTAATTCCTGTTCCAGAAGATCTGATGCCTTCTTCTGACCTCCACAGGGACCAGGTACACACATGGCAAACAGACATACATGCAGACAAAACATTAATGCTACAAAAATAAATATTTAAGATTAATAAAAAGAAAAAACTGTAGAATTAAAGTAAGCTTTTTAATTTCATGTCTCAGATTCTGATCCTACCTGTTATCCACCCAAAAATAAATAATTTCAACTCAAAATCTGGAAGAACTTGGTCAAATTAAATAGCATCCTTATAGAGAAATACTCACCAAATAACCAAACCAACAAGCTGTCAACCACATAATGAAATTGAACTAAAAATAAATTATAGCATATAGCTAGATATTGGATTAGGTCTTTAGAGCCAAGTATAAAAATGTCATAAGTAAAGATGAATACAAATTATGGTTGTGATGTCATACATTTTTGATCCCAGCACTCAAGAGGCAGGGAAATGTAGATTTCTGTGATTTCAAGACCAGCCTGGTTCTGCATAGGAAGTTCCAGGCCAACCATTGATCTAAAAAAGAAAGAAAGAAAGAAAGAAAGAAAGAAAGAAAGAAAGAAAGAAAGAAAGAAAGAAAGAAAGAGAGAGAGAAGAAAGAAAGAGAAAAGAAAGAAGTTGTCCACCAAACTCTGCAACTCTTTATTATAGTTTTTCCTGGATTATCTAGTGCTTCTGCTGTTATGTAGCACAATCTGACCTCAAAATTTAAGATCTTCCCGCCTCATGCCACCACACCCTGGTGCCTCATACTTGGCTGTTTCACTGTTCATTAACACTTCCACCAGAGGGCAGACTATAAATAAGAAAGGTAATGATTTTCGTTTGGTAATTTAGTTTTCGTGTACTTATTAAGAAAGTGTCATGGTTGAAACTATTTTTCCATTTATTTACCTCTCTCCATTAGTATAAAATTATTATAGATTGACAACATCAGCACTTTAAATACAAAGACAATATAATTTATAATTTATAATTTTAGTTTTATTTCTTTAAGAAGCTTTATTAACTTTAGTAGTTATTTAATAAAAAGTGCTATAACTGGAAGAATGTAAACTTTAACTGCCATTTTCACAGCTATGTTTTTTAAAGTTGGTTTGGGTTTTCTTGTTGTTCCCCATCCCCCTAGCCCCCAACTATTAAAATTCTTGGTTTTCATTTCATGAATAGGCTTCAAATACTTCCTTTTAATGTCACTGGTACTTAGATGTCCTCTTGTAAAGATAGATAAGTAGTGTTGACAGTAATAGGCTCTGAAATATAAATACATACAGTTCAGTTACCCTATCCTTTGAAGTTATTCTTCAAATTGTAAAGTTTAAGTAGCCGTAATTTATTTTTTACCTAGTAAATTATTTTTTACCTAGTACTCAGATAACCAGCCAGTCAACAAGTAACTTGGAGTTTCATATTATAAAGTGTTCAGAACTGAAAGTTGATACCTTGCCTCCTCTTCTGTCCGCTTGTGCTTCCAATCCCAGAAGCTCTAGACTGTGTATCCTATTTGTTGTTTCATATAGCACACGGACTTTTCCACTGCTGTGTTAAAATTGTATTTTGTTTTTAGAGTACTTTCATATTCATACTTGGAGGATGGAAACTTAGTTACAAAGTATATGCTAGATAATTATACTACAGAAATAGCAAATTGTAACCAAAAACTGACTTTGGCTTGTCCAAGTATGGACATTACATCACTAACTAACAAAATAGAAGAATGATCGTAGATATGTTTTTAAATGTTTCTATAGGAAAAGGAAAAATTTGTCATTTGAAAGATAAAACCACATCAAACCTTTTCTTTAGCAGGTTGACTCTCAAATCTTTGAAGGCATTTTGTCTCAGTAGTTGTGTGGCCTCCAACTCATGTCATTTTACTTTCATCTCTTGCTTTGATAAGAAGTCATTCTTAGGCAAATTAGGCAGCAATAAAAAAGCAAAATTTTGGACATATTTCAACAAAGAGATCTTAGTTATAATTGAGTCTAGTATTAGTTCAGTATATTTCTGAATAGTAAATTCTTAACGCAGGATGAACGTGTTTTATCAGCAGTCCAGTTCTGCATAACACTGCTGGAGTGCTTCTTCTTTTTCATAGAATAAAAAATCATGCAGAAGATTAGAAAATAAAATAGAAAATTACAATAGGCTTACTTTGGTCTTTGCAATTGTAAATAGTCTTTCTGAATAACGGTGTAGTTGGTTAATATCCAACTTGAAGATATGGTTATGGGGAGAAATGACTAAAGTTGTTGAAGTGAAATGATTTTTTATACATATCAAGTTTTTTTCTTGATTGCTTCTTTCCTGTATATTCTTTTAAGTTGTATTTCAGGTTAGTCTTATATCATCGAACATTGTGTAAATGTGTTAGCCAGGTCTGTAGGTTATACAGAAAGATAATGTCCTAGAAATGTGATGACAACATGTATATTGTTCCTGCTCGTCTTCCTTCTTTCTACTTTATTTTCAAAAATGTTTTGATCTAACAGCAGAAGAGATGGAGAGGTTGCCAACAATCTGAACGGCTTTTTAAGGAATGAAATCTCAGACAAAAAAATTCAGGACAATCATTTGAAACATAACATCTTTTATACCAGCTATTAGATCCATAATACAACTGTTTTACTTCTAATCACTTGATTATTTTATTTATAAATTTCAGTTTCCTGATCCCAAGATTTTATTTAATGAATCTGGTTACTTGTATTGGTATTTATCTATGTTGGGTAGTATTTATTTGTGTTTATAATCACATGTGATTTTTAAGATGGTGTTTAAAAGAAGTAACCCTTCCACAGCATGTCCTCCTCACATTCTTCCACCAGAGAAGAGGCCCCCTGAGCCCCCTGGACCTCCACCGCCGCCACCTCCACCCCCTCTGGTTGAAGGCGATCTTTCCAGCGCCCCCCAGGAGTTGAATCCCGCCGTGACAGCCGCCTTGCTGCAACTTTTATCCCAGCCTGAAGCAGAGCCTCCTGGCCACCTGCCACATGAGCACCAGGCCTTGAGACCAATGGAGTACTCCACCCGATCCCATCCAAACAGGACTTATGGAAACACTGATGGGCCTGAAGCTGGTTTCAGTGCTGCTGACACTGATGAACGCAGTTCTGGTCCAGCCTTGACAGAATCTTTAGTCCAGACCCTGGTGAAGAACAGGACCTTTTCAGGCTCTGTGAGCCACCTTGGGGAGTCCAACAGTTACCAGGGCACAGGGTCAGTGCAGTTCCCAGGGGACCAGGACCTTCGTTTTGCCAGGGTACCCTTAGCATTACACTCAGTGGTTGGGCAACCATTCCTGAAGTCTGAGGGAAATGGCAACTCTGTGGTACATACAGAGACCAAATTGCAAAACTATGGGGAGCTGGGTCCAGGAGCCACTGGGGCCAACAGCTCAGGAACAACTCTTCAGTGGGGGGGCCCAGCTCAGTCTTCTGCTTATGGAAAACTCTACCGGGGGGCTGCAAGACTCCCTCCTCGAGGGGGAAGAGGGAGAGGAGTTCCTTATTAACCCGGAGACATCATTGCCCTTGAAAATTCCTTCCCTATCCATCTTTCCATCTAGTCCTCTGAACCTTTAATCCCTTGCCAGAGCAAGGTAATCATCTGTATTTGGCTACTGCAACGATGTCCATTGTTTTCCTTGCTCACTTGCTACTAGCAGGCGACTCAATGATCTTGGCACCAGTTCCTCCTGGATGGGCAATAGCCAGCATATTTACTTCTGCTTTATGTAGGAGCTATAGTAGAAAATATGGAGAAAAAGAGACATTGGGTTGAAAAGTAATTGTTGCATTAGTTTATTGCCTGCCCTTGAGCAGAAGAGAGAGGACAGTTTTGTTTTGAGATGGCTCTAGAGAGGCTTTGGGTTTCAAAAATATTTTTGTTTTTGTTTTTTCTCTCTATGTGTGTGTGTGTGTTTGTGTGTGGTTTCTTTTGAATTTTTATTTAATTCCCCACCCCACCTTTAAAGAGAATAGTATTCACAAGATCTGAGCTCCTCTTAGGCTTTTGCTAGAAGGGAAACAGTGGCTTCAATGTTTCCTTTCTCTCTACCATCTCCCATTTTTGCTTCAGTTGAGCATCTTGTACATACATTTTCCAAATAAATTAAGTTTGCTCAATTTTGACAATTTTGCCCTTTTCCTGCACTTAAAGCAGGCTGTAGAAAGTGGCATTCTTGGGCAAGAAGGGAGGCTTTACCCAATTTTTGCTTTTTGTTTTACTTTTTTCTCCTCCTTTCCCCTTGCCTTTTTTGTCCCCCTCTTTTTCCTTCCACTGTGTTCCTGCCCCTATTCTTTTATCTTTTTGAGGCATTTGTTTGATAGAAAACATAGTAGAGATGCCCAAGAACCTGGAATGATTCTTTTCTTTTTTCTTTTTTTTAAATAAAGGAAAGGAAATTCAAACTCTTACATTGTTCTCTGTAACTCTTCAATTCTAAAATTTTCATTTTGTTTTTTAAGCCATGTTATGATGGGGAGGTTGATTTGTTAATGATAGTACATTGCTGCTGAGCTGGTGGTTAGAGGTGGTACCTCCATACCTAGAAGGGTAATAAGATCAATGAGCATGTTGTTTACATGTATATTTTTATGTTTTTTTAAAGCCTTTCAAACAGAGCCTTGTGATATTGTCAGAGAAAATCTTGGAAATACATGGATATATAACCTAGCTTAGGGTGTATATCTGAAGATATATCGATTTCTGATACCTTTAAAGAAAATGCTTTAAGCAGCTTACCATGTAAAAGAACAGTATTGATAAGTATACATCACAGCATGTATAGCCTATTTCTTATAGAGAACATTTTGATTGTGGTAAAGGGTATATAAAATATGATTTCCTGACAAGAACCTTGCCTTATCAAAACAAAATGTGGAAGAGAGAAAGGATCTCAGATTACTTGAGATGCTTCTCATTATGGCTTCCATTACTTCCATCAGCATCTGGAGTATTTTAAAAACATATATGTCGTATATTGATCTGCACAGACTTGGGAGTTTGTGAACTGTAGGTTAAGCTCCCTTTTACAGAGAAAAGCAAACATACTTGAGCATCTTGTAGAATAGTTTTCAGAATTCAAGTAAAATTTCATGTTTCAGTACCAAGTTCTTAAGTTAAAAAATATATTTAGAAAGATATATTAATTTTAAAAAAATTTAAAGAGGTAAAAGAACCCTCTCCAGCTACATAAAAACTATTTTCCCCTGTTACTGAAATAAATACCAGTGTGTATATTTCTTTATTTTCTGTGTTTTGGTATGGCTTTGCCACAGGGCCAAACACTAATAGTAAGTGAACCTTCTAGCCATTTGGCTTTGATAGCTTTTTTATGCCAGGATGTCTGGTTAGATATCCTAGGAATACTGAGATGCTATCCATAGATTGCATTAAAGTTTTATCTGTACTTTCAGTCTGCTACTAGTTAGTCCTCAGACATGGGCCTTATTTTAGGATATTTTATTATAAGGTGTTGAACCCCAGTCCCCTATTTTTGATTAAAGAAACTGAGCAGGGATACTTTCTAAAGTATCTGTTCAGTGAAAAAAATTGTTTTCCCATCAAATATGAATAAATTTCTCTATATATTTTCATTGTATTTTGGTTATAGATAGTCATCAATAATGTTTTCCCTTCCTGTCTGCCACTATATTTTTAATTATGCCAAATAGTCTAAATAATTTACGTAAACTTCCATTTCCCCATCCCTGCTAGGGAAGGGGGTGAGTATGTGAATGTGTGTATATGTATGTATGTTCCCATTTCACCCCCACCTCATTTTGGAAGTGTAACCTATAAAAATATTTTTTATGATAATTTTGACTACTTCTGAAAGCAAAGGAAAATAACTCATTTCAATATCCTGAAATCTATGGAGGAAGAAAAGGTATTTGGTCATTCTCCAGCTATACTATATATAAACATAATGAAAGTAAAAATTTGGCTGAATTTTCAACCCAACTGGCTAAAAAGTAGATACCTAGTTAATTCCATTCAAAAATGATTTGGGTTTTAACTATTGTAGCATTATTAAACACATTATTTTGAACAGACGAGAAATCTGATTTTGTTCATGAATAAGAGACAAAACTGGCTTGACCATGATCATTTTTGTATGTGGTTTTAAAAGCACATTTGCTTAACCCAGTTTCCTTATTTTTTCTATCTCTCTATATGGATAAGGATTCACAAATGACATAAGAAATATGTATTTAAAACAGGGCAATTAGCACAAGTTTGTATGTAGTACTTTTGTTAGTTTATGCCATAATCACCACCCAACATGTGTATGTGTGTATGTGTGTGTGTGTATAATATGCGTATATAGGTACAGTGCTAAAGTGGTTACCAGCAGGTTTTGAGAGAGAATGGTGCATTGGAAAAGTGTCAGTTGCCACCTCATTCTCCCTGATTTATAGGTTCCTGACACTGTATTCCTTTCTCTCTCTTGTTTTTGACCCCCATTGGGTGTACCTTGTCTATGTACAGATATTTTGTAATATATTAAATTTTTTCTTTCAGTTTATAAAGATGGAAAGTGGAGATTGGAAAATTAAATATTTCCTGTTAATATACCACTTTTGCTCCATTGCATTTACTTCTAATTTCTGTACCCTTTGAGCATATCTAATCATATATGAAGGACATTTTTTTTCCTTTATGTTATGGGTTCTCAATTTCGGAAGACTCATAAACTACCAAAACAAAAGAAAAGTTCTCAGGGTTTGGAGAGGTACTTGAGAATACTAGAGTAGAAACTAAAGAATTAAAAATTGAGTTAAGGGAATCCATAAGAACATGATTTTAAAAAGAAAAAAAAGTAGAGAATGGATGGTAGTATGAAGCCATCAAGAGTTGAGCTTCATGTACCCTGACTGACTCCTCCTGGCAGGAGAGGTAAGTGGGTTTGAGCTCAACAGTCATCAAAAGAAGCTGGTAAGAAGCTGTTTAGACCTAAAGGATACTCTGAAACCAGGATCTCCACCATTTCACCCAGTCTGGTTTCCAGTCTTATAGAAGAGGATCAGCATGGGGGTTAATGTGTTCAGCAACCTTTGAGATTTCCTAACAGCAGTAAGCCAAGAAATGAAGCAGAGCTGTTTAAAGGTTAAAATCTATATTATTCTTAAGATCTTTCCCAGCTCTACCAGAGGGGAAAGTTGTTTTAGTTCTGCTTATAATTTAAAACACTAAGAAGTCCTTGATCATACATGCTACAGTCTAGCTAGGAAAAAGGCAAATAAAATCTATCAGGAGAAAGAGGAAAAAATGTCTGAACTTTGTATGTGGGATGAGCAAGTTTTAGAAGTATAAGCGGCACCCAGGCCATGGAAAATGAAGGATTAAAAGCTGCTGCTGAGGATTGCTGACTTGAGCTAAATTTCTCTGTTTTTGGTATCCTTTGCCTGAGGCAAAATCATACTCTTTTTGACCCTGAAGGAGAATGGAGAGCTCAAGATATTTCCAGTTCCAAGGATTTTGTTAGTAGTCTCTGCAGAGACAGTGACTTGATTTTAGGTCATTATGCATTGCATGTCTGTGACTAGATGTGAATTTCCAGCTTCCAGAGTGTATTGCTTCTGTTTTTTAACAGTGGCTGTCTTAATTCTGTGTCTAAAGACAGAGGACTAGCCTGTACTTTTTTCTCTTCATGCACAAAACCATTCCATGTAGAAAGCCTTTTCAGTACCCAAATATCTTTAGCACTTTTCTCCCGGATATACACCCTTAATTTTAAAAAGGCTAATGCCTATAGTAAGTTAACACTGTTTTTCATTGTAAACTAGGGGTTCTTTTATTTAAAAAATTGTCCTACCCCTCCATTGGATTTTATAAATTTACTGAGTGACTTTTCACAGTTTAATAATTCTGAAGGGCTAGGTGGAATGAGAATGAGAAGTTCCTTAGTGAAGAAATAGCCTACCATTTCAAGGAGAGACAGTCTGCTGAGTATTTTAGTTGACCTGAGAGGTAAGGTGAGATTCCTGGACACTAATTGATTCTGTTGTCTGGCTAGGTTTTCTCATATGTGGGAACACCTCTCAAAAGTTTCTGTAGCCTTAGACTACTCAAGTAGGGGATTCCTCTAGCCGAGGTTGGAAGATAACCTTTGGGAATCATTGGTGCTATCTGTCCTATCCCTCCTCACTGGGTAGCTGTCATCCTATCTACTTACTTCCTTTCCTTTTCTTGCGCTTCTCCTTACCTTTTTT